GATGGAGGGATAGAGACAGCGAGAGATGGAGGGACAGAGACCAGAGATTGAGAGAGAGCAGAGCAGAAATCCAGATAGGGACAGAGACAGGGATAGAGGGGCAGAGATAGATGGCAAGAGAGGGAGAGACACAGAGACACAACAGGACAGAGACGGAGAGAGACACCAAGGGAGAGTCAGGGAGACAGGGGAGGACACAGGCGAAGGTGGAAGGGAGGCCCAAAGGGGGGGGGGAGGACAGAGGGAGAAGAGGAGTGCGGGACCCCGGCACACAGCCAGAGAGTGGCAATGAGTAATGGGGGCGATATAGAGGTAAAGGGGGGAAAGGGAAAGCAGGCAGGAATGGAGGGAACAGTGAGACCCACAGAGATGGGACAGAATAGGAGCAGGACGGGAGGAAGGGATGGTTAGGGAGGGAGATGGAAGGAAAAACAGACGGGGTGGACAGGCTCAGAGTGACAGGCAGAGAGAAGGCAGAGCGGGGGGAGTGACAGAAACGAGTGAGCCAGACCCGAGAGGACAGGCGGAGAGATGCAGAGAGAGGGGCAGAAGGCAGGAGAGATAAGAGACAGAAAGTTGGACAGGGAGGAAGATGGAGAGCGAGCCGAGGCCGGAGACAGACCCCAGGGCCGCAAGAGACAGCACACACAGCGATGGGACCGCGCGGCCAGGCAGAGCGAATGCACACGAAGACAGAAATAGCGAGCCAGGCAGAGCCCGAGACCCCGCCAGGGAGGTGCCCGGCACAGACATGAAAGGCCAGCCAGGAAGGCGAGTGGCAGGAGGGAACGGAAATAAAAGCGAGAAAAAGTGAGGGAAAAAAATGAGAGAGGGAAAAGGGGTCAGGTGTGTGGGGAGAGAGAACGAACAGAGATTAGCAGGGTGTCCTAAGGAAAGAAAATGCACCCCCAGGCCTTGCCTCTTACCCCATCACCACCCCAGCCCACCCTTCAACTCTTGTCCCTGTCCCCCATTCTGAGAGAGTCGTGGACCAGGCTGGGACTCAGGGTTGGGGGGCACAGCTGTGCGGGGGGGGGGTCCCTGGCACCTAGCCCGGAGCAATTTAATAAATTAGAGGAAACACAGCTTTGCCTCCACTGCCCCCTGTTGAATACTGGCCGCCTGGGGTGAATGGGCTGGGAGCCCAGGTTCCTGGGTCCTAGGTCTGAAGGAGGAGGGCGAAGAGAGAGGGGGCTCTACTTCTGGCTTCCAAAGAGGCCCTGGGGCCTGCTCTGGAGGCTCCCAGAAGAGGTGGTGAGGGTCCAGACAGCCGAGCGTTCTCTCTTGGCTGTCAATCAGCCTTCTGTCCAGTTGCCATGGTAGCACGGGCCTCCTCCACCCCATGCACAGCCAGGGTGGGGGAAAGGCCCACACCCCTAGCCCTGCCCGCAGGCCTTCCCCTCCCCCCTTGCTCAGAGATCCCAGGCTACTTTTTTGGAGGAAAGGAAGCAGGGGCTCCTGGCAGGCCCTCCCTCCTAACTCCTGGTTCCTCCTCACCCCTCCTTGCCACTGCCCTTCCCCAAGCAGCTGGCTCAATCAGCGCTCAGAATAGCCCCCCTTCCACCCCAAAATAACCCACAGCTGTGGCCTAGCCCCCGCGGGGTTAACACTGGCGCTCCTCTCCCTTCCCGGGGGGTTGTTCACCCCTCTGACCCTTTTTCCCCTCCCAGACCTACCCCTTGCCTGGCCTCTGATTTTGGGGACCCCAGGGTTTTGCTCCCTGCTGAAACTCAGGAGGGCAGCCCCCAGCCCCTGCCTTCCTAGGAGGCTGTAGGCCGTTCCTGTCCATCCAATGGTTTGGACACTGCTGCCCCACCATCCCTCCAGGACTCAGGAGTGGCCTCCCCAGCTTTCAGGTGCTCTCTCTGGAGGCTGGATCCCCAGAGCCCACGCCCCCAGGAGTGAGACTTCAGGCCCCCAGCTCCACCTCTGGAGTCTCAGCCCCAACTCCCCATCCAGCCACCCAGGGGCCAGAGTGCTGGACCCCGGCCCTCCAACTTCTCCCATAGGCTCCAGGCCTGGCCAAGGCCCCTGCCTCCCCTAGGGCTCCAGAGTCCTCCTCTATTCTTCCCCAGAACCCAGGAGCTCTGGCTCCCTCCCAGCCCCAGCAGCCTGGATGCTTACTTAGAGCTATACTCCTATGTGCCCCCAGCTCCGGCCTCCCCAGTCGCCCCACTGAGATCCTGTACATGGCACGGACTGTCCCCAAACTGAAAAGGAGGAGGGTGCCAGAGATTCCTGGGGTGTCCCTATCTCTGTTGCTTCCTCCACCCCGTCCATCACAGAAGAGGGGAGCGACCACTTTGATCTTTAGCTTCCCCCCAGTCATGCTGCAGACGGCGGCGTCCGCCCCCCACCCCAGGTCTCTCCACCCAGTCCCAGTGCCTGCGAGAAGCTGGAAGGGCATTCCAGAACCTTGAGGAGGGGGTGGCAGCCTGGGGCGAGGATGCCGGGGGCCTAGATGCCCTCAAGGTCCTTGGCAGGAGTATTAATAGCAGACTCATAGCTTGGAGGGGAGGGGCAGGCCAGAGGAGAGCGGGAGAGGGACGCCAGCCCGAGAAGCCTGGTTCAGGGAGGGGGTGCGGAGGTTGGGGTGTCAGGTATGTGCCGCTGGGGAGAGGAGCAGTGTCAGAGGAAGGGGGGGTCTTAGGAGGTTTGTGGTATAGAAACCCAAAAAGGAGGTTTGGAGAGGGAGAAGGGGTGGAGGAGAGTCTCTGAGGAACACGGAGACCCTTGCCTGCCCTGAAGCCCCTTCATGCATGAATCCCATGGCCAACTTTCCCTGCCCTAGATTTGGGGGTCCACACCCCCCCACCCCCACAGCCCCTGCCCCGGACTTACCTTTTCATGACCCTGTTCTGTGGGGGGGATATCAGGGAGGCCAGGACTGGAACCCGGTGTCCAGGGACCCGAAGATTCTGCGGAGGGCTCGGGGAGCCGGTGGGGGGGGGGGGCAGGCCCCGGGGCGGTGGCAGGAGGCAGTGGTGCTGGCGCGGTGGCAGCAGCGGCAGGGACCTCTCGCCTGTCCCCGGCCGTCTCTCCCTCTTCCTCGATCCTGACCTGCCCTGTCTGTCCCCCAAGGTTGCGGCCACCCGGGCTAGGCGAGGACGAGGCTACACATGTTGCGCTGGAAGTTGGGCCCCGGACATTGCGGAGGCTGTCGGGGTGTCCTCTTGCGGCCTCGACCCCGTGGGGATCCCCCCTCCACCCACCAGGGGTGCCCCCCTTTGCCTTCAGCCCCGGCTCCTCCCCCTGTCCATGTGCCCCATCCCGCCTCTCCCTGGCTCATTCGCACCCCTCCTTTGTGCCCTCGGCAGCCCCCCCCCCCAGCGTCTGTGTCTGTCTGTCTGTCTGGGTCACCTCTGAAGCAGTGGCTGGTGTGCGTGTTTGTGTGAAAAGCAGGAGACTGCCTGAGGGGACTGCTCGCCCCTTCCTCGCTTGGCCACCTCCAGAGCCCCCCTTGGCACCCCCACTCTCAAGCACAGGCAGAAGCACACACAGACACACGCGCACACACGCACAACCTCACTTCTCTGGGATTCCCCCTCAACACCCCCGGAGCTTGAGCAGGAAGACACACACACACACACACACACACACACACACACGCAACCCCGGGGCTGATGGGGGCCGATGTGAGCTGCCACTGCTGTCAGGGGCTGTTTGGACAGACAGGAGGACACAGGCAGCCGGGGACACCCGGACGCCCGGCTGGACGCAGGCAGAAGGCACAGAACCCAGGTACACACAATCCATGCAGGTTTGGGGGCTCAGGGGAGGCCTGGGGGCCCTGCAACATGCAGGCGGGCGGCTCAGGGTTAGTACAGACAGACAGACCCCTCCTCCCTCTGCCGCCGCAGCCCTTACACGGACACACCCCCCCACAGCCCGCCCCGGACGCCCGGACACGCATCCTCACCGGGCAGATGGCAGCCGCGCGGGAGACCCCTGGGGGCCGGGCGGACCCACCCAGGCTGACACCCCCAGCCGGGCGCTGGTGGCCAGGAGGCTGCGGGCGGAGGGTGGCGGCTGCGCCCGGCCGTGGCTTGGAGGAGCCGGAGCGGGAGGGACTCGCACGCTCACTGCTCGCACACACACTCAGTCGGGATGCGATTAACATTCAGTCCCCGTCCGTCCCTGCCGGAGACCCACAGCCCCCCCTCCTGGCCTCCCTGGGGACCCCTCCTCCTGCCAGGGCTGGGGGAGGGGCCGCCCCCTACCCCAACTCCTAGCCTCTGGCTTCCTCCCAGGACGAGGGAGAGAGGGGCTGCAAATAAAAAGGGAGAAAGTGGGGGCAAGGACTCAGAACCTGTGTGTAGATGTTGCTTCCGATTTAGATGCCTGTGCTGCGGACAGCCGGCCGGGAGCCCCCACCTCACTTAAAGGCTCAGGAACCAGGAGGCTGTTTTTCGACTCCAGTGACTATGCTAACAGTGGTCCTTGGCTTCTATCATGCCAAAAGGCTGGGCTTGAAAATTAGGTCTCTATTATGAACGCAGGAGTTGTGACCCCAGCCCCTCATTCCACAGGCCAGGGTGTACAAGCCCTAGCCTCCTCCCTCAGACCCCTGACCTCCTCCCTTACACCCAGGGTCCAGGCCCTGGCTCCTCCCTCAGACCCAAGGGTCCAGAGGACCCATCTCTACTGGAACCCGTGGACCTGGGGACCCCCCTTTCAGCCTAGGTCTCTGTTTAAGTGCTCAGGCATCCTGCTTTTCCTAGCACAAACCAGCCTTAGTGTCATGGATGTCACCCTCTGAGGACACATCTCTGCTTGGACATCCAGAAGGAGAGCAGTGTGTGCTTTGTCCAGACCACAGCCTGGTCTCTGTGTCCCAAGGCCATCTGTGCATCCTGTCCATCAGGTGAAGCAGTCTCCAACACTTCTTCAAGGCTGCCTGTGTGGCTCTGGGTGGAGGGTGGTGCAGGACACCTGGGCCCTTAGAGGCTGACGCTGGAAACTTGCAGGTATGGGGACAGTTCTGGAGCCCAGGCTAGTACCAGGCCCATGAGCCCCTGAGGTAGTTTGTGTCCGAGTTTTGCCCTTGAGCCCGCTAGGGAACCTCCTGTTCCCTTCATGCCCAAGGTCTGGGAGGACTGGGCTGAAGGTGCACAGTCCTGGGAAAGAAGAGACTTGGGGCCTGAATTTTGATGTGGTACAGGAGGAAGGGATGGTGGATCTGTTTTCCTGATGTTCAAGCTCCTGAGCTATTAAATGGTTGAAGTGGGACCCTAAGTTCCAAGATATGGAGGGAAGAGCGATGGGGTCTAGACCCTGGGTCTGAGGGAGGAGGCCAGCCTGGACCCCTGGGCCCGAGGGAGGGGTCCCTGGGCCTGGACTCCCTGGTCTGAGGGATGTGATGGTAAGAGCAGCTTTCTTTTCTTTCCTGATTGGAGCTGGAGGCCCCAGGTGAGCTGCAGAAGCCCGCAGTCCAGCATCTGGATTTCTATGCATGATTTCTGAAGTTCAGAAGGCGCCCCCAACTCCCTGTGAGGGCAGGGTCTTGGCAGCTCTTCTCCACCCTTTACGGAGAAACACACTGAGTGGGGGAGCAATTCTGGGATATGGGAGTATCGAATCCCAGCGACCCTCCAGGTTCACAGGACTCAAGAGACAGAGTGCTGTGGGCGCCAGACCTGCAAGGCAGGAGGTGGGCGACAGGGGGAGCCCGAGAGCCGGGGACCCCTCCCTCGGGGGCGGAGCTTCCCCGCCCGGACTCCTCCTCCTCCACCGCCCTCTGCCTCTTCCCAGCTCCGGCTCTGCCGCCAGCTCGGCCTCGGTCCTCCTCCGAGTCCCCTCCCCGCAGCCAGCCCACCGGAGGGTCCGCTCCCGCCCTCAGCCCAACCGCCCGCCGGAACAGCAGCTCGGGGGGCAGCCCCCCGCCAGCCCACCTCCCCTAGCCCAGCCTTGCCCGCGCCCCCGGCCATGAATCTCTTCCGATTCCTGGGAGATCTCTCCCACCTCCTAGCCATCATCTTGCTACTGCTCAAAATCTGGAAGTCCCGCTCGTGTGCCGGTGAGAGACCAGGGAAGCCAGGGGAGAAGGGGACAGAAGGCGGGGGCGTCCCAGCACCGGGGGCCGCTGGGGAGCCCCGGGGGGACTGGTTCGTGCGCCCACTGCTTGGTGGGGACTCCCTCTTCCGGCCTGGGGTCACCGCGGGGTCAGCTCGCCTCCGCAGGCGAGGGGTGCACACAATCTGTTTGGTCTCGCCAGGCCTCCAGTTCAGCCTCTCTCAGCCCTCATCTGGGCTGCTCTGGGGGTTCCGTGCTGGGAACAGGGAGCCATGGCTGGCGGGGAGGTGGCTGGGAGTTGGTGACGTGGACCGTGGCAGCCAGGAAGAGAGCAGGAGGGAGGTGACTTGCTGGAGGGGGGCGCCGAGGTCGGGCAGGGTCCTCCCTAGGCCCCTCCTCCGGTGGAGAGTGTGGGAGGACTCCGAGAGGGCTGAGGTGGCTCAGAGGCCTAGCTCGGGACGGAGCCTCGGGCTGGAGTAGCTTTGGGGCCGGCTGCCCCCTGGCCGTGGGCCGCGGGAAAGGGCCCTGCTTGGGCTGGGCGTGCTGGGGAGGCCTCTAGGGACAGCTGTGGTTCTGAGCCAGGCTGGCCCCAGCCACCGTACTGTGCCTTAGTTTATGGCCCATGCAGCCCACCGTCAGCTTCCTCCTCTCTCTGTGTCCTGACCGCAGGGATTTCAGGGAAGAGCCAGGTCCTGTTTGCTGTGGTGTTTACCGCCCGCTACCTGGACCTGTTCACCAACTACATCTCACTCTACAACACATGCATGAAGGTAAAGCTCAGGGCCACCTCCTTGGGCCTCCTGAGAGTGGGCGAGACCCGGGGGGTCTGAGGGAGGAGGCAGCTGAGGTTCCAGGCCCTTAGGTCTGCGCCACAGGCTGGGTTGGTCCTTTGAGTGAGGTAACCCATTGTCACCCTTGCCAGGTGGTCTACATAGCTTGCTCCTTCACCACTGTCTGGATGATTTATAGCAAGTTTAAAGCTACCTATGATGGGAACCATGACACGTTCCGAGTGGAATTCCTTGTTTTTCCCACGGCCATCCTTGCATTCCTGGTCAACCATGACTTCACTCCTCTAGAGGTAGGCTGCCCACGGACTCCTGCAGTGGTCAGGTGGTGGTGACAGAATGGCTGCTGGTGGCAGGCCCTCGCACACACTTCTTTCTGCCCGGTTGGCTGAGGCGTCCTTATTTTGGGACCTGTACACTCAGGGCACAGGCCCTGGAGGTAGGTGCCGTGAACTCGATGCTGCTCTGCACCCACCATGTACTTGGACTCAATGATTTCCATAGCAGTCCCACTTTACTGATGAGGAAACTGAGACTTAGAGTCTAAAGTGTCCAAAGTCACTGATCTAGTAATACCAGACTGAATAGGTCAGGAATTGGGACAGGGCTCTGGAGTCAGGATGCTTGAACTTGAATCTCAGATCTGCCTATTTTCTACTAACATGAACCCGGACCTGTAACTTGATTGTTCCATGCCTCAGTTTCCCTAAATATGAAGTCAAGATCACATCCTTATGAAGATTTATGACGTTTTGTAGCAAGCCTAGTGGCTAAACACAGAGACTCTGGAACCACAGTGCAGGGATTTGAAACCTGTTCCTTCCACTGAGCCCTGGTGAGATTTGGGGCAAGTTTGCAACTACTCTGAGCCTCAGTTTCTTTTTCTTTTTTGAGGTACTGGGGATTGCCTGCGCTTGCCAGGCAAGCGCTTACTCTACTGAGCTATCTCCCGGGTCCCCTCAGTTTCTTCATCTGTAAAATATAATCGGTTTGGGTATAGTAGGGTGTTGTTTTGGTGTTGTAGATAAAATCTAGAGCCCTGTGTGTGTTAGGCTCACGCTGTACACGGAGCAGCACCCCTGTCCCCCTCACCAGTGAGGGGCTCTGCTGAGGGTTGATGTTTGGAAAGCGTCTGGCGTCGGGTGGGAAGTGCTCTCTCTTGTGTTTTATGACCGAAGTGTTCGGTCCTGAGCTTGATGCTTCAGGATTGAGATGTTTGCCCTCGTGATTTTTATTCTGTAGTGTTTTGCTGGAACTGCTGAGAGGAATTATGGGAGGACCAGGCCAAAGTCTGAGGTGCTGCAGGAGTCATACATTTGAGGCAGCCTTGCCTTCCCCATGCCCGCGCCTGCCCAGCAGGAAGCCAGCCCTCGGTGGCAGGGCAGGCCTGTTTTTGACAGGACCCATAATCCAGTAGTTTTTAGGCAGATATCATCTTCAAATTTTGGCCACAGATTCAAGATTTATCTCCACAGACACTGCACGGGCTTAACCAGCCTGACAGGGGCGACCTTAGCCCACGCATCTCAGAAATACTGGAGGGACACTGACCGTGCTATAGGCGGAGCCAGGGGCTTACAGATAGGTTGTGGTCACCCGGCACAGAGCACTGGCCCAAGCCCTTGTGACCACCCTGCTCGAGGGGTTGTGAACCCAGTTTGCAGATGGGGCAACAAGGGAGGTGGGGAGGTTCTGAGGTTTGCTCAGAGTGGAGGGGCCCGGGCCGGAAACAGGCCTGTGTGCTGCTCTCACTCAGAGGGGAAGGGTCACTGTGCAAAGCACCCACCATGTGCCTGCTCTTTTGTCACTCCGGAAGCAGGTGTCTGTCTCCTCATTTTCTTTTTCTAGTCCTGGGGATTAGGCCCAGGGCCTAGTGGGTAGTGGGCATGTGCTTGAATTCATGTTTGGGCCATCTGCCCTTCTTAAGTTTTATTTTGAGACAGAGTCTCACTAAGTTACCCAAGCTGGCCTCAAACTGGTGATTCTCCTGCCTCTGGCTCCCAGGTACTGCGATTGCAAGTGTGTGCTATGTGCCGCCATGCTGGGCCTCTGTCTTTAAAGAGGATGGGAGGCTTAGATGGGAGAGTTCATGTGATTTTTTTTTTTTTTAGTTTGTTTTTTATTTTTATGTTTTATTTTTTAAATTCATGTGATTTGAACCCAGGTGTGCCTGCTGCTAAAGCTTGTGCTATTAAATGGTGTTTGGATATATATATATATATATATATATATATGAAAAAATTTTTTTTTTTTTTTTTTTTTTTTGGTAGAACCAGGGATTGAACTCAGGTCCCTGTGCTTGCCAGGGAAGCGCTTATTCCACTGAGCCATCTCCCTGGCCCCTCTTTTTTTTTAAAGAAAATATTCTTTAAAAATTCAGATATCACCGGGTGTGGTGGTACATGTCTATAATCCCAGCACTTGAGAGGTGGAGGCAGGAAGATTATCATGTGTTTGAGGCCAGCTTGAACTACATAGCAAGATTCTGTGTTAAAACAAAACAACATGCTGGGTGTGTTGGCAATGCCTATAATCCCAGCACTCAGGAGTTTGAGGCAGGAGGATTGCTGTAAGTTCAAGGCCAGCCTGGACTGTATAGCGAGACCTAGTCTGAAAAAACCAAAACCAACCAAACAAAAAAAAGCAGCCCCCAAAACAAAAAAGTCAGCACTCAAGAGGCTGAGAAGTATTGGCAATTTGAGGCCAGCCTAGACTGTGTAATAAGACCCTGTCTCAAAAAACAAAACAATCCCCAAACACTACAAAAGAACAAAACCAACCAAACAAAACCCCAAAATCCTAACAACAATTTGGATGTCAGCTGTGATGCTGCATGCCTGTAGTCCCTGCTACCTGGGAGGCTGAGGCAGAAAACTCACAAGTTTGAGGCCAGTCTACAATTTAGTGAGACTCTGTTAAAAAAAAAAAAAAAAGTCCTAATAGTGTGCTGTAATCCTAGTATTCGAATCCAACCTGTACAGCTTGGCAATTTAGCAAAACTACTCTCAAAAAAACAAAACAAAACCCTACTCTCAAAATAAACAATAAAATAGGACTTGGGGTGTAGCTCAGGGTAGAGGCCCTGGGCTCAATCCTTTACACTGCAAAACAAACGAAGTATAAAGAGAAATGGTGAGCTACATCCAGGGCTGCAGAGCTGTCTCCTCTTACTCCTTGCTTCTGTTCCCCAAGGCCAACCCCAGAGGTGAGGATTGGTGTGGATCAGCTCAGCGGTGCATTTCCCATGAGCCTCTGCGGATGTGCTTGCTGAGAGAGTCACTGGAGGGTCCTGGGTGGCTCTGAGGGCAGGTTCTGCAGTCTAGCTGCCTGGGTGCAGAGCCAGTGAGACCCTGGACAGCTTCCTTAGCTCAGCCTGCTCACGTGTGTAACAGGACAGTAGCAAGACTGGCTTCGCAGGCTCAGAGTGGATAGCAGTTAATGCCTTGGTCACAGCAAAAGCTGTGGAAGTGTGAGTTGTTGTGACTGTGTCCTAGCTTCACCACCCGCTCCCTGAAACCGAACCAGTCAGGGAGGGGCCAGCTGGCTCTGTTCTGTGAGAAGTCTCAGTTCAGTACCTGTGGGTCACAGACCGTCCCAGGTGGGACTTTCACAAAGCTGGGGACGAAAAAAGGGCCCAGCAGGAAGCGTCAGACCAGGCCTTTCTTTAGTAAGAGAGTGAAGCAGGAGGCCAGGAGAGTATGGAGGAGAGAGAAGTCCTGGGTCCCCACTAATGCACACACATATAGTCTCCAGCCCTGCTGCTAATGAGCTATGTCATTTGGGTAAGTGCCTTACCTTCTCTGAGCCTCAGTTTTCCCCATCTGTTGAATGGGAATGTGAATGATTATAGCTTCTTGCCAGGTGTAGTACTGCACAACTGTTATCTCTGCACTTGGGAGGCGGAGGTAGGAGGACTGCCATAAGTTCAAGGCCGGTCTAGACTATGGTGTGTTGAAGGTCAGTCTGAGCCACAAAGTGAGACCCTGTCTCAAAAAATAAAAACAAGGGGCCAGTTCAGTAGAGTAAGCGCTTGCCTGGCAAGTGCAAGGGCCTGAGTTCAATCCTTGGTTCTGCTAAATAAATAAATAAATAACAAAAGAACAACCAAAAAAATTACAGCTCCCTCCTGGGGCTGTGGAGAGAATTAAATGAAATATAACGGGCACAGGAAGGTGCGCAGCGCCAGGTCCAGTTCCCTGAGCCTGTGCCTGCAATCCCCCCGTCCCTCCCTTCCGCGTGCCCTGCGCCTCCCTGCTCTCGGCCCTTCTCCCGGCTCCGCACAGATCCTCTGGACCTTCTCCATCTACCTGGAGTCCGTGGCCATCCTGCCGCAGCTGTTCATGGTGAGCAAGACCGGCGAGGCGGAGACCATCACCAGCCACTACTTGTTCGCGCTGGGCGTCTACCGCACGCTCTATCTCTTCAACTGGATCTGGCGCTACCACTTCGAGGGCTTCTTTGACCTCATCGCCATCGTGGCTGGGCTGGTCCAGACGGTCCTCTATTGCGATTTCTTCTACCTCTACATCACCAAAGGTAGCCAGCCCGTGCCGTGCTTAGCCACTGCTCTGCCTGGGAGGTGGGGGCAGAGTCTTGAGTCCTTTGTCCCTCATGGGAGGGAAAGGTTCCTCCTGGGGTCTTGGGGTACCTTGCCCACTGCTCCCTAGAAACTCAGGCCTCTGGCCCCTGGCTCCCCAAGGACCCAAGAGGTCCTGTCCTTTGGCTGCTATATTGCTTCAAATGGGGATGTGGCGAGGGAGGACTTATAACTGTGAGGTTCATTTGTTCATTCATTCATTCATTCATTCATTCATTCATTCAACAAATATGTGGGGTACTTGGGTGGCCCAGGCCAAGCTGTAGGATCTGGGGGTGCAGCAGGAGGATGAGATGGTCATTGTCAGGTGTGATGGTGCATGCTTGTAATTCTGGCACTTGGGAGGCTGAGGCAGGAGGATTGCCTTGAGTTCAAGACCAGCTTGGGCTACCTAGTGAGTTCAAGGCCAGGCTGAACCAATCTTGTCTCAGAAAACCAAAGGAAAAAGAGTAGAAGATGGCTGAGGCCCTTTGCCTCTAGGAGTCCTGTGAAGGGAGCAGAGGCAGAGCCCTGAGGTGGGTGGCAGGCCCTAGCCCAGGGTCAAGCCCTGCTGTGTCCCCAGCCCCTCCTCCCTCAGCACCTCGAGTTCCTCAGAGCAGGAAGAGGTGTAGCCAGCTCTGAAAACAATGAGCCTGTGTTGGGGTCTGCAGGGCCCCATGCTAGCCCCTAATACAAGCACAGGGCCCCTCCTTTGGGCCCAGGCCGTCCTGCTTGGTCTGTGATGTGGATGCTGGCAGGTCCCTGGTGCCCCCCGCCAATGCCAGTGTCTCTCTCCCGCAGTCCTCAAGGGGAAGAAGCTGAGTTTGCCCGCATAGCTCTGGTCCCGCTCCCCACTCCTCGTTGGCGGCGGTGAAGGCAGCAGCAGGAGCAGAAGAAGGTGACACAAGACAACGCCTTCCATCCAGGAGTGACTTTTTAAAGAACCTGCCTCTCCCCACTCTCCAGGCCTGCTTCTGCCTGGCTTGGGGGCTGATGGAGGATCCAACTCTTGGGGAACTCAGGACTTGGGCCGTTTTCTAGTTTTCTGTCTTTTAGAGAAGACAATAACAACAACAACAACAACAACAACAACAACAACAAACTCTTTCCACTATTTTGTTTTGTTTTGGAACTGGGAATTGAACTCAGGACCTCGCCCTCACCAGGCAGGCACTGTGCCGCTGAGCTATACCTTGGTCACTCTTTAGGTTTTGATTCTGATGAGTCCTTTTTCTTCTACTCTCTGGCCCCAATTTTTTATAAACTCTTTTTGAGCGTCCCACAAGCAGGGACAGGGCGAGAGATCTCTTCCCTTCCTAGGCACCTCCTACTAGCCCCAGCTCCCCACTGGATGCCAAACCCTAAATCTGGCCTTTCTGCCCCTACTACAAGTCCCTGGGTAGGGGACAGTGAGGAAGGGAGTCGCCCAGGAAGGTCTCCCCAGAGTTTTCATAATTTTTCCAGGATTTGGGTTTTTTGATCTTGGTTTTTGACAAATTAGGGGGGCCCTGGGCTCAGATGTGGGAAGGGGGCTGGCCCGTGGGTCCCCTCAGCTCTAATGCCATGTTTTTGTACAGAATTTGATGGTTGATTCTTTGTTCTCTTGAAATAAACAGGGAAATGATACCTCTTGCTGCTCCTTGTCCTACCTGCTGATTGTGGGGTCCACTTCGGCCCCTCTCTGCTCTGCTTTTGCCTCATGGGTAATCTTTAGAGGTTAGAGGCAGGGAGGAGCAGATGGGAAATGGGGTTCACGAGACATTGTGCTGCAGAATACAGTTCTGCACAGCTCTGCCTGGGAAGAGGTTTTGGAGAAAATCTCAAAGATTCCTCTTACCCTGGCATCAGAAGTGCCTGATGTTCTCCAAACCTGCAGGAGTCAAGAGCTTGTATGTTGGGGACCCACTCCCTCAGTGAGCTGTGGTTGAATTTTGTCAAGCATTTTGTGTTTTCTAGAAAACAAAGAAGGATGGGATGCCAGCATTTCAGAACCAGATTTTCATATCGAAGTCTGAATTTTTGGCTTCTTAAGAGCTCCGACAGTGTGACAGTGCTGGGGCCTTGTTTCTGGGTGGCACAGATGGATGGAGCTGAATGGATGGGGCGCATGCTGTCCCCACATCCCCAGGACCTGGCTGCATGGTTGTCATTGTTCATTACTGGGTCAGCACTGATTGCTTAGTATTTATTTGTGGGGTTAAAAGGAGAGATATTTTCCAGGTCTTTCTCCAGATTGGCTTCACACCTGGCCCATTTCGTACACATATGGTACTTGCCTGGGTTTTGTAAGCATTGGGCTTTTTTTTTTTTTTGAGATGGAGGTCTTACTCTGTAACCCAGGCTGGCCTTGAACCAGCATGGATTTTCTTGCCTCAGCCTTAGTGCTGGGATTACAGGTGTGTGCTGCCGTGCCCAGCAGCACTGGAACTTTTGGTCCTTGGTGTAGCCAGCCAGGTGGCACAAGCCTGCATTCCCTGCATTTGGGAGGATGAGCCAAGAGGATCACCTGAATTTTTTCTTTTGTCTTTTTGAGGCAGGGTTTGACTGTATTATTCAGGATAGCTTTTTTTTTTCTTTAATTAATTAATTAATTAATTAATTTGTGTGTGTGTGTGTGTGTGTGTGTGTGTGACCAGCTCAGCCCACCAGGGGGCGGGGCAGGCTGGCATGTGGTGCTGGGGGATTGAACCACGGTCTCTGTGCTTTAGCTTAGCTTGTTCTAAGTACGTGCTTTAGGCCACTGAGCCATCTCACCAGCCCCCAGGATAGCTTTGAACTCACTTTGTAGCCCAGGCTGGCCTCAAACTCACAGCGATCCTCTTGCCTCAGCCTCCTGAGTGCTGGGATTACAGGTGTGCACCACCACGCCCAGCTAGGATCACCATGAGTATAAGGCCAGCCTGGGATACATGGTGAGTTCAAGACCTGTGTGGATGACATTGCAAGACCCTGCCTCCAAAAACCAAATCAAGACAGATGTAACCCACCAAAAGGAGGTCCAGTTGCTTCAGAAAAGTCAGGAGGTTCTAGAGCTGCACTGGCCCAAGAGTGGGTGTCAGTGATAGCTGACCAGTGGACACTTGAAATGTGGCAAACGCAAGGTGAGGTGTTTGCAAATTTAGTATGAAACACAGAAAACACCTCACTGATAATTTTTACATTGCAGTTGTGATGTTTTGGACATCTGGGCTAAATATATTAAAATTCACTGATTGTGTTTTTCTTGATGCGGCAGCTAGCCAGTTTTCCTGGAGGCTGCCCTGCTGGCACTGGCCCTACTCCCCCACTACTTTACTGGGGTGATACCCGCTGGAGTCTCCTGCTGTTCTCAATGTGGACTTTGATTTTTGTTTTTTGTTTTTTGTTTTTTTTTGGTGGAACTGGGGATTGAACTCAGGCTCTTGCACTTGCCAGGCAAGCGCTTATCCTACTGAGCTCTCTCCCCAGCCCCGTTTGTTTGTTTTTTTGGTGGAACTGGGGATTGTAAATGTGGACTTTGAAATATTGAAAGACAAGAACTCTTCTGAGGGGGCTGGCCAGAGAGCTCAGTGGACTAAAGTGCCTGCTTACGCAGAGGGCAGTGGCCAGGGTTTGGGGTTCGACCCCCGGCGTGCCATGCTGGCCCTGCCCCTGGGGGAGCCCTGAGATGGTGATTGAGAGCTGTGATTGAGACTGGGCGTGTGGCGCATGCCTGTAATCCCAGTGCCTGGGAGGCTGAAAACAATCATTAGGAGTCCGGTCTAGTCCTATCTACATAGTAAGACCCTGTACTAAATATATTTAAAAAAACAACAACAGGGCTGGGGAGATGGCTCAGTAGAATAAGTGCTTCCCTGGCAAGCGCAAGAGTCTGAGTTCAATCCCTGGTTCTGCAAAAACTGCAAAAAAAAAAAAAAAAAGCACAACAACAATGTGGAGGGAACTACCCGCTCGGGCCCCCCTTCCTGTTCCTCTCTCAGGACAGGAGCTTGCTTTCTCTCAATATATTCTGCTCATAACCTCTGTTCCTAAAATTTATTCATCGGTTTTAGAGAACACGAACTCGTGCAGGTCAGGTCCAGAGATTTCTTTCATAAATTCTAAATTGGGACTTGCTTAGGTAACAAATTTATATTTCAAATGTTATATGTCTTTGCCCATTGCTCATAATTGTTCATGCTTTGCAATTTTACCTGAGCAATGGTGCTTGTAATCTCATTGGTTGACCATAGTTTTGTCCCACCTCATGCCCAACTAAGCAAGTTCCCATGTCTTCTCCACCACCTTAGACCAGCCTCACCACATAGTTTTCCTCTATAAAAGTCCCTGCAAGAGACAACTTCTGGGGGGAACTACATGCTCAGCCCCCCCCCCCCCCCCCCCCCGTCCCTCTCTTGGGACAGGAGCTTTCTTTCAATAAATATGTTCAGCTCATTCAAAACAAAACAAAACAAAACTGAATGTCATTCCTGGACTCCCTGTCCCCTGCCCTGTACCTACCCTCACACTGCTTGGCTTTATGGTAAGTTCTTGTCATGGTGCGGAGTGAAGGGAAGTGGGGCTTTGGCATCAGTGAAACTCACAGCCAGAGTCTCGCTGTCTCATAGTGCCCCCAATTCTTATTTTTTGGGGGACAGGGTCTCATTGTGTAGCTCCGGCTGGCCTCATGGTTGAGGTGACTTTTCTGCCCAAACCTGAGTGCGGGGACTACTGGTGTGTGCTGCCATGCTGGGCTTGGGCCTGATTTTTTTTTTTTTTTTAATGTAATTAGTACAGGGTCTACAGGGTCTCTGCGTAGATTGGACTCCTAGTGATACTCGTTTTCAGCCTCCCAAGCACTGGGATTACAGATGCACGCCACCATGCCCAGTCTCAGTTGCCATCTCAGCATGCCCTGGGGGCTGGGCTGGCATGGCACACCGGGGATCGAACCCCAGGCGCTGCACTCTGCCTAAGCAGTTGCTTTAGTGTGCTGAGCTATCTGGCTGGCCCTGGGCCTGATTCTTGACAGGGCTTTCTCCACGCAGCAGAAGAGTTTGGGTTTCAGCTGTAGGATGGGGTACCGTGTGCCTCCCCTCCCATGGCTAGTGTGGGGCCCCGAGGTGTGGCAGGGGGTTCTGATCTGTCACCACCTCCCATTTGCTACCATCAAAATGGGGGAGAGACCCCTGAGGAGCTGGTGAGGAGCACAGGGCTGTTTTCTGGAGAAAGAATATTTATTGCTTGGGACAAGGGCATTCAGCTGTCAGGCATCATGGCCAGGCGCGGGCCCTTCGGGGCAGTCACACTGGGGGACAGGACAGAGCTGGAGTACGTCAAGCTGCTGGGGCCAGAGGTGGCCAAGTTCACTGAGCTGGAGGTGGACAGCGGAGAGAGGGAGGTCAGCATGATGCCACTCTCATCCAGGGAGCGCTTGTAGGGGACTGGGATGTCGCTGCGGAGGTCCTGGAATGCCAGGTAGGCCTGGAATATCTGTGGGTGGAAAAGGGTGGGATGAGGACTGCCTTGTGCTAGCAGGCGGAGGGCACCAGATAGCTGACGCCCACTCTTGAGCCAGTGCAGCTCTAGAACCTCCTGACGTTTCTGAAGCAATTGGACCTCCTTTTGGTGGGTTACGTCTTTGTCTTGATTTGGTTTTTGGAGACAGGCTCTTGCAATGTCGTCCACAGAGGACTTGAACTCACCATGTAACCCAGGATGACCTTACATTCATGATGATCCTAGCCTGTCGCTAGGCACTGGGTAGGGCTGATCCCTAACCCTGGGCCTGGCCTTGGAGCCCCGCAAGCTGTGGGGTGATCTAGAGCTCCCAGCTGCCGTGCAGAAGGGGCTGGGCTGCGGGTGGGGCAGGCCCATTCTCACCCAGGCAAAGATGGAGAAGAAAGTAAAGGTGATGGCTGCCTTGGCGCTGCCACTCCCCACAAGGAGCTCTTTGGGTGACGAATGGTGCCACTGGTTGACCAGAAAGCAGAAACCCAGGAACCAGGTGACTGCCCAGAGGGCTGCAAGAGAGAAGAGGCCAGGAAAGCCTGCTCAGCTGGCTGCCGAGGGGCACAGCCGCTTTGGGGAGCCTGGGCTCACCTGCCAGGATGATGTCCAGGAGCCGGAAGACCATCTTGAGTTGGGGGCTGACTATCCAGGCCTCGTGGGCATCCAGGGCAAGGAAGCCCATGCTGGTCAAGAAGGCGAGGGTGCCAGCAATTACAGTGAAGCTGCAGGCCATGTGGTTGCTGTTGAAGACGCAGTGGAGCTGGGAAGAGTTTGTCGTGTTCTGGTAGCCATCAGTCAGCAGGGAAGAGAAGATGATCAGGGAGAAGACCTGGGGACTCGAGGGACCAGAACAGAGCTCAGCATGCCCCCAGGGACTCTTCTCCCTGGTGTGTGTGGGAAGCGGCACAGATCAGTGGCTCCCTGGTCCCTGTCACACTGCAGAGCCCTCAGGCTCCTTCCTCCCTGTTTGTGCTGCACCCCACCTGGCCTTGTCCCCTCAGCTTGACCCCTCCACCCACGCCATCCTCCACACCTCAGGGCTCCCTGCTGTGGACCCTAGAGCTTCAACCTGGACTTGCGGGGCCACATGGTCCCTGCCTTTCTCTTCCACCCCGCTCTCCCCACCCGCCCCTGCCCTGTTCTACACTTTCCTGCCGTCAGACCCAGGCACCCCATCTCAGTGGGACCATCTGAAATATTCTGCACACAAACACCCAGCACACCTTACACAGAACCAACACATTGTTTTTTGTTTTAGGACTTTGTGCATGTGTGTGTTTGTGTATGTGTGCGGTACAGGGGACCAAACCTGGGACCTCACACTGAACTACATTCCTTGCCCTTTTTATTTTTATTTTGAGATGGGGTCTTACTAAGTTAATAAATTGTCCTTTCTTTTTTCCTGGTACTGGCAATCGAACTCAGATCTTGTACTTGCAGGCAAGTGCTTGTGCCATCCCCAGCCCCAAAGGTCTAGTTTGGATCCAATTTGAGATCTTTCTGCCTCCCAGACTGCTGAGATTGCAGGTGTGCACCACCACATCTGGCTTGTTTTCTATTTTGTTTATATAATTTTGTTTGGTTTTTGTTTTGTTTTTTGAGACAAAACTGTAGTCCTCTGTAGTTTCACTATGTAGTCCAGGCTGCGCTTGAACTTACTGTGTAGCTCAGGCTGGCCTGAATTCTTGGCATTCCTCCTGCCTCAGCCTCCTGTGTTGGCACTCCAGGTGTGCACTACCATGCCCGGCACAACCTTGCTTTTTAGATAACAGAACTGAGGCACAGACAGGACAGGACCGGGCTGCGCTTGGTCATCCGGTTAGAAGCAGGGCCTGCGTTTGAACCACAGCCTCCTGGCTGCTCAGTCTGCCCCGAACCTCTGGCTGTGTTCCTCATTCTGGACTAGACACTCCAACGGGTACGTTTTAATCTGTGTAACTCTCTAAAGAATTGAAGCCAAATTATTTGTCCAGACAGCAGTCACACTGGAGTGGGCCAGGGCTATGCCAGGCATGGAAAGAGCCCCCCCAGTCCTGTGTGTGTGTGTGTGTGTGTGTGTGTGTGTGTGTGTGCGCGCGTGTGTGGCTGCTCCAGGGGGCTCCTAGACAGTGCCACTGCAGCACCAGCACTATGGTGGGCGGCAAGCCAGGGAGGAGCAGTGTGGGCCAGAGTCAAGGTTTGCTCAGGAACCAAAGCCATGGGCTAGAGTTAGGAGGTAAGCTGAGATCCACAGTGGACCTTGAGGAGGAAAGGCAGGTGGGACATGCAAAGGCCACATGCTGCTGCAGGGCCGAGAGGCCCCTGGATGCAGGGATCCGGTGAGATGCAGTGGAGAGCGGGCAGGAGGCAAGGCCCAGGAGACACACACTGGGGCCAGCAGCCATGGAAAGTGAAATTTCTTGTTTGAATTGAATTTGATGTGTGGAAGGGTTCTGAGCCAAGGATGGCCAGGGTCACACTGGGGCACAGAGAAGTCCCCTGGGGTCATGTGGGAAGACTAGAGGCCACAGACCTGAGTGTGGGTTGGCTTGGTGGCCAGAGCCCTGGGGAGTCCAGGAATATCCAGGATGCAAAATTGGACCTGGTGATTGATTGGATATGACAGTGCTGGGGACAGCAGGTTTTGGGGGTGGCTGAAGGAAAGAGCATGCCCCCTCCTTCCGCGTTGGACGTTACCCTGTCCCCAGCACCTAGCATAAGATTGAGTCAGCAAATATGCATGGAAGAATGATGCCGGCTTCTTGTTGTGTCCTTTAGGCAGGAGAGGCCAAGGCCTGAGGCCTACACGCCATCGCTCTGGGCCCATCCGACCTTCATGGCTTTATAACAATGCTGATGGCAACAATGACAGTTAGGACAAGGGGTCCCTCTTGGGCTGCTGTCTCCCTTGATGGCACTTCAGTCCCAGGTCTGGGGCAAAGCAGGTCAAGGACGGGAACACACATCGATCATTGCCGAGCCCGCGTCCCTTCTACCTGCGCCATCCCGCGCAGCCTATTATTAATGCCTTTCTGTTTCACAGGTGATAAATCGAAGCCATTACGGTGGAGTGGAAAGAGCCAGACTCGGCGGGCCCTGCCAGCTGTGTGGCCTTGAGCAAATCGCTCAGCTTTTAGAGCCCCATCTCCCCATGTGACTGGGTCCTGGTGAGGGGTGATGTGGGGCTGCCGGGCTCAGCCCTAGTAGGTGCTCAGGAAAACCATGGTTCTCAGGAGTCGCCCTTGAGGGGAAGTGTCCCTTCAAGGTCACCCAGGGGCTGGGTAGGATTAGAATCTGGCTCTCTTGACTTCCAGGCCCAGGGTTTTTTGCCCACTGACTAGATGGGACAAACAACGTTGTGGTGGAGTCTGGGACATGGGAGACGGGGGAAGGGGCACAGCTGGCCAGAACCTGAGTCCAGCCTCCTCCAAGCCCTCTTGGCCTGTCCCCAGGGAGGGAACGAAGGCTCATCAGTTAAGGGAGCAGCTGGCAGGCGGCAGGGAGGACAGGAGCACCAGCTGCCCAGGGGCTCCCTACTGTGGGGGCAGGCCAGGGGGGATGGAGGAGAGGGCGGCGGGCGAAGTCCGTGACCAGCGCGTCTGGTGCACCAGAGCCTTGTCTTTCCCAGCTGCCTGCACCCGTCTACACCAGCTGGGCTTCCCACCCCCCGCCCGCCCTTCCTTCCAGCTTTGGAGACCGGCGCGTGAGTCTGGCTCTGACTTGCTCACCAGCTGACAATGCCCTTGGGTAAGCCTCAGTTTCCCCTTGGGTTGTGCAGGGGCAAGGATGTCTGTGTCATAGGGCTGTGGTGAAGAGTAAAGGAGCTGCCACCTTAAGGGACCTAGCACAGTGGACTCAAGTCCCTGTCATCCTAGGCACCCTCCACCCATCTCTATCCTCGCTTACCAGCCATGATTTGTTCCAATAATAATTGTTATTTCAGGAAAGCTTCCCACCCGCCAGGCCCACACTCAGCAAGCAGTGCCTAGGCATTAACTTGTCTCCGTACCAGCCCTTCCCACTCCGTCTATGAAGAGGCTCAGAGAGGGCAAGGAACTTGCTCCAGGTCACACAGCCACAGGGTGACTGTGCAAGCTGAGGGACCAAAGAACTGGTCCCTTCTCCAGAGAGGGAATACTCTGCATCAGAAATCTTTGAGGACACCCAGGGCTTGATACAGGGCACCCTACTTACTCCCATGAGCTACATCAAATTCTGCTGTGTCCTTGGCCTGTTTCCAATCTGTTAAGGGCAAAGTGCAGGTGGCAGCCCATGACTGCACTGGACCCCGAGCAGTGATGTCCAGAGAGGACCAGTGATTGGCCCAAGGTCACACAGCAGAGCCCGTACTCAATGAGGATTTGACTCCCAGCTGGGTGTGGTGGTGCACACCTGTAGTCCCAGAATTCGGGAGTCTGAGGCAAGAGGGTCACTGCAAGTTTGAGACCAGCCTGGGCTACAAAGTGAGCTCAAGGCCAGCCTGAACTGCACAGCGAGACCCTGTCTCAAAAAGACAAAAAAAAAAAAAATATTATCAAAAAGGGGGTTCAAGGGATCTCCTTTTAAAGGTTCTTTTGTGCCAGTAGTCAATCATGCTAAGAGGGGTATGGAGTGTACCTGGGTGCTTAGGGGAAGGCAGAGTCCCTTAACAGTCCCTTATTCCCACTTCCCAGTCCCCTTGAACTCTGGCTATGAGAATTTTTCTGTCTGTCCCTGTCCCCCAGGTGGGCCACAGAGACCTCACCCCTGAGAGGATCCGTGTGATGCTCTTTGGCCTCCGCAGGAAGCGCACAACTTCGCTGTTGGCCAGGTCCTGCAGGCTTGAAGGGAGGCGCATGGCGGCTGCTGTTCTGCCTCGGCCCGAGGATGCGGGGACACGAGTGCGGGGTGCCACTGTCAGTGTGCTGCAGGCCCACCCAGCTTCAGCTGCTGCAAGACAGCACATGGGCATGTGAGAGTAAGGAGGCAGGCAGGAGTGTGTAGGGTCCCAAGAGTGGTTGTGGGGCGGGGCACTGGCAGGACTCCAAGGAATCTGGGCTCGGGGAAGGGGATGGGGGCGCTAAGGGTGGGGGATCCTGGCCAAGGAGAAGGGGCATGGAGAGGGCTGCCCATGTCCTTTGCTACAGGAGGCAGAAGGCCCAGTTTAAGGACCGCCTTCTCTCCGTTGAGAGGCAGGTAGGAGTTTCTGGTAGATCTGAACCAGAGGAATCCCTTTCAGGCTTGGGGGTGGCCAGTATTCATATTCATATTATTATTACTATGTTTGAGACAGTGTCATGTCATCTCCCTGTCTCAGTCTCCGGAGAGCTGGGATTATAGGCATGTGTCACCATGCCAGGCTTAGCACCCACAAAATAGAACCTAGGCAGTCTGGGAATATTTTAGGCTGTTTGGGAACCTTGGGGTTATTTCCCAGAGTAAGAGGGTCCCCTTAGAATTCAGCTCCATCTTTCATAAAAATGTAAGGCTGGGCGAGACAGGGCAAGAACCTCCGCAGCAAGCAGTCCCCACAGAATGAGGAGACCAAGTCGCTGGTAACGGTGGAATGGGAGTGCTGGGGCTTGGGGATGACACTGCCTGAGGAAGAAGGGCTACTCGCAGGATCCGCGAGCGTCACCTGAAGGCCGGCTCCTCCTTCCACCTGTTCTTTCCTCCCGCTTGCGGTCACCGGCTCAGCCTTCTTTTGGTTCCTCTTTTTCCCGCCTTTTCGCTCCTCCCTGGCTGATTGGCTGCACCCAAGTCCCGCCCCCTTCTTCCCGCCTGCTCAGGAGCTGACTTGAGCGGGGGCGTGACCTAAGCAAACGTTGGGCTGTTTGCCGTTGACGGGCTGCGCGCGGGAGCCCCGCCCAGTCTCTGACCTCACGCCTGCCCCGCCCCTTCCCTTTGAAATCCGCCGACAAGGTGACACTTACATTGCGCATGTGCCTAAAAAAAACCCCACGGCGCTGGCAGTGGAGGAAAAAACCAAAACAAACAAAGTGCGTACTACGCATGTGCGTTTCAGAAAGGCAGTCGAAAGAAATGGGCTCCACTGAAAAGACCCAGGCTTTGAGCATGCGTTTTACTGCTGGTTGAAGCCAAACGCCGGAGCCCAGGACACCTTCTTGCACATGCGCAGGAGGCTCAATGACAGTCGAGCGTTGACTAAGGTGAGGGAAGGGTGGGAGGATTGCATGGCCGGGGAGGGCGGCCCTGCATCCCCTATGCAGCTTTTTGTGTATTTCCTGTACGCCTGAGATCCACCTCACCTACAACCCTCAGAAACCAGTTGTACCACTACAGTGTTTCTGGGTCTGCAGGACCCCCTGACCTTTGACTCTATGCTAGCCTCCAAGCCCACTGAACAGTAGGGGAGGGGACGGGCTAAAGGGGCTGCGCCCTGCCTAGGGCAGGGATGGCCGCGGAGGGTGCCACACAAGGCACGTTTCCTCCAGATGACATTTGACCACGCTCTTTCCCTCTGTTTTAGGTTCTGGGGAAAGGGTCTGGCCATGTTGCATGTGACCCGAGGGGCCTGGGGGTCCAGGGTCCGAATATGGGCGCAGTTGTCGGCGCTCCTCGGGGCTCCCCGGGAGCTGTCGTCTTTGGCGGAAAAGATGGGGGTGTACCGCAAGATGTGGAACCCCACAGAGCCCCGCGACTGGGCCAGGCAGTATCGAGAGCGCTTCATTCCGTTCTCCAAGGAGCAGCTGCTCCGCCTTCTGATACAGGTACCGCCCGTCCCGGGTCTGAGAGCTTGCAGACTACCATTCCCGGCAGGCTTCGCGGGGGTGAGGGCTCTTCATGCCATTGAGGGCTGTCGCAGAGCTTCCTGGGGGTTGTAGTACCAGATGCGCTCAGCGGCCAAATGGCCAAATGGTGAGTTGGAATGCAGGGGCAAGAGCTCCCAGATCAGACGCAGGAATGACTCTCCGGACTCGATTCTCCAGAGACTTGATCTCTCTGGGGCATGATTTCCCCCTCCGTAAAATGGGAATAGTCATCACCCTCATCATTACTATTTCTACACCAAATACAAATTATACCTACAGGGTTGGGGAGAGAGCTCAGCGGTTCAAGCATCTGCTTGATCTCCGGTACCAGAAAATAAATAAATAAATAAATAAATAAATAAATAAATAAATAAATAAAGTCACAAAGCTGAGATCATACTAGTTGAGCATTTACTTTGTGACACTGCTAAATGTTTGTGAGGAATTTACTAATCAGAACCACCTCTAGGGGAGGTACCACTGTCATCCCCATTTAGAGATGAGGTAGCAAAAATATGCAGGAGGAAAAGGACTTGCCCAAGGCCACACAATAGTGGCCCAGCCTCTCTTGACCTTAAAACTGTGTGTGTCCTTACAGTTTTTGCCCTTGGGTGGCTTAGTCACCTTACCCTAACCCTGGTCCTCCTCCAGAGTTTAAGTTGTTACTCCACCAATCTCATACCTATCAACCCTGAGCACAGACACACACACACACACACACACACACACAAGCACACGCACACAGAAACATACACACACACAATCCCAAACTCAGGGGATGTGCCCCTCTGCTGCTAGAAGGAAAGTGAATCTCCTTGAGATGAAGACTGAGGCACCAACAAGGCAACGTGGTGAAGAGTTTCAATATGTACACCTGAAAGCAGGCTAGAATTGGAGTCCCCTCACACAGACCTTGTGGTCCTGCACATATGATATGCAAATAGCTCCTGACACACCACAAACATGTATATTGGTGAGTTATTGTCCAACCTGGAACCCAGACATTCACCTCTTTTTTTTTTTTTTTTTAATCCATCTCTTGTTTTTGTTTTTGTTTTCGCGGAACTGGGGATTGAACTCAGGCCCTTGTGCTTGCCAGGGAAACGCTTATTCCACTGAGCCATCTCTCCTGCCTAATCCATCTCTTTAAGCCCTTTACTAGTTTTTTGTTTGAGTCAGGGTCTCACTACATAGTTCAGACTGGCCTTGAACTCACTATGTAGCCTAGGCTGGCCTTGAACTCATGGTGATCCTCATGCCTGAGATTGGGGGGAATATACCACCATGCCTGGTGGATCAAATCTTTTGTATTAGATTGCCTCAGTCTCTTGGTCAGTAAAGTTGCTCAAGTCTTTCCCTCAACTGTAAATAAAACAAATTTTGAAGAGCCTAGAGTACGGGCCATGCATTTGGGCTGCTGGGAAAAGAATTCTTCACATGGGCAGGGTAAAGAGGCCTAAACAGATTTTGCTTTCTGAGGTGACAGGAATTCCACTCCAGTCCAGCAGAGAAGGCGGCTCTGGAGGAGTTCTCGGCCCATGTGGACTTCTGCACCCTGTTCCACTACCACAATGTCCTGGCCCGGCTGCAGGTGAGGTTGGCCTCTCAAACTCTGTCCTACTTGTTTGCCCATCCATCCATCCATCCATCCATCCATCCATCCATCCATCCATTATCTATCATTCATCCATCTGTCACCCATTCATCCATCAATCTATCCATCCATCATCCCTCCCTCCCTCCCTCCCTCCCTCCAGCACATAGTCACTAGCACCTTCTTGGAGCTCTGGGGACCTAGCAGTGGACAGGACTGAAGCTGCCATGTCCCTCACGGAGCCAGCATTCCAGATGCGGATGCAAGAGATGAAACAGGAATAGAATAGGATGCCTGGGAGGGGGAGTGCTATGAAGAACAGTGAGGCAGAGCAGTAGGAGAAAGCGGGTCGAGATGAGAGGGCTAGTAGTTTTGTTTTTTTGAGACAAGGATTTGCTATATAGTCCAGGCTGCCCTTGAACTCACTATGGAGCCCAGGCTGGCCTCAAACTCACAGCAATCTTCCTGCCTCAGCCTCCTGAGTGCTAGCATGACAGACCTCCTGGTGGGGTCTGTTTTAGCCGGGGTGGCCAGGGAGGGAGAGAGACAGAGAGAGACGGAGAGAGACGGAGAGAGACAGAGACAGGGAGAGAGAATGTAGGTAAATGCACCTGACTTGCTGAGGCAGGAGCTTTTGCGCTTGCCAGCTGGGGCTGGCTGAGGCCGACAGAGACTGGCGGGGTCTGCTCACCAGGTCGGGATGTCCCTGGAGGAAGCAGCCCAACCCTGGTTCAAATGCCAGCTTCCGTGTTCCCTAGCAGGCAGCGACCTTGGAGGTGACCTCTCTGATCCTGCTCTCTCCTCTGCAGTCACTCAGTGAATTCACTCCATAAATATTTATTGGGCGTCCACTGCGTGCCCAGAACGGCCCAAGCCCACGGTGCGGCCCAAGCCCAGAGCTGTGTGCCTCCCGCCCAGCCCCGGGGCCTCACTGAGCAGAGAAGCGGTGGGAGTCGCCACACACCGAGCAGGGCGCCCTACGCATGTCCTGGGCAGGTGGCTCGGAACGGTAGACTGTCTCTGAGCAGGAGTTGGGAAGTCTGTATGTCATGAGACACGCACTAAAAAAGACTGTATTTCATGAGAAATACAGGCGTGGGCGTGGATGTCGCAGGGTGGGCTTCTTCCTCTGGCTGGGAGGGAGGAACACATTGTTCTGTCCTGTCCCTAGCTAGTGGTGGCCGTGGCCCAAGTGGCACCATGGGGAGTTGAAACCTCATTCCCACCCCTCCTCCGGGGCTCCACTTGCCCTTCTTTGGTGTCTGTCTCTGTCTATGTTTGTGATTTTGCTTTTCTTTTTTTGAGACAAGGTCTAGCTGTGCAGCCTAGGCTGACCTTGAACGTTCGGAGATCCTCATGGCTCAGCCTCCTGAGTGCTGAGAGTATAGGTGTGCACCACCATGCCCTGGCCTCTTTTCTGTCTCGTAAAATAAGGCTTGCTTTTTGGATTTAGGACCTCCTGCAGTCCAGTTTGATTTCATCTCGTCCTTACCTTACTGCCCTGCAGAGACCCTATTTCCAAATGCGATAATATTTTGAGGTTCTGAGGGGGTTGAATTTTGTTTGTTTGTGGCACTAAAGACTGAACTCAGGCCTGTGGCACTCAGCTACGTCCCCAGGCATTTTTTTGTTTTTTTTGGAACTTGAACTTTTAAGTGCTATTCTTCAACCTACTCTATCCAGTTAAATTTAAATTTCATATAAACTGAAAAACTCTTTTAGTGCAAGCATGTCTCATGAAATAGTCTTCAAATACTGCATAGAACATGCTTCAAACATTTATATGTATGTATGTATATATTAAAAACTGGTTTGTTTTGGTCTTTTTTTTTTAATCTTTTTTTTTTTTTTTTTTTTTGCGGAACCAGGGATTGAACTCAGGCCCTTGTGCTTGCCAGGAAAGTGTTTATTCTACTGAGCCATCTTCCTGGCCCTTTTTTAAATCTTTGACATGGTGTTTGGCTATGTTATTCAGGCTGCCCTTGAACTTGTGATCCTTTTGCTTCAGCTTCCCAAATCCTGGTATTAAAGGGCCAAATAGCTCAGCGGATTGAAGCACCTGCAAGTAGGCACAGTGGCTGGGGATTCAATCCCTGGGCACGCTGAGATGGCGATTGAGACTGGGCGTGGTGGCACGTGCCTGGAATCGCAGCTCTTGGGAGGCTGTAAACAGGCAGATCACTCTGAGTCTGATCTAGTAGTGAGACCCTGAACACCCTGTAGACCCTTCCCTAAAATGTAAAACAAAAACAAATCCTGGTATTACAGACGTACACCACAACAGCTGGAATTTACATCTACATTTTCATTATATATGGCTCATATATTCCACACAGATACATATATATGATATGTTTATGTATTGCAACAGGGTCTCGCTATGTAGTTCAGGCTGGTCTTGAACTCACTATGTAGCCCAGGCTAGCCTGGAACTCACAGCAGTCTTCCTGCCTCAGCCTCCAGAGTGGTCCCCCCCCCCCCCACCCAGCTCTACCCCCAGCTCTTTAAGCACAGCTCTGAAGTAGGGAGAGCCTGCTGCACAGGCATCTGGGGGAACAGGAGGTGCCAAGGCCCTGGAGGAAGAGCAAGGAGGTCTGAGGGGCTCTATGCTCCATGGGGAGAGGGCTGAAGGAGAGGGTGCAGTGGAGCCCAGGCCACATTGGGCAAGGTGAAGCCTTTTTTTTGCGGAGGCCCTTGCGCTTGCCAGGCAAGCGCTTACTCTACTGAGCCATGTCCCCGGCCCCAAGGTGAAGACTTCACTGGGCTCCGAGAGCAGAGCTGAAACCGCGACCCTGCAAGCGCGAACAGGCGCCCTCTGGCGGGCACTTGGAGGCTGACAAGCAGGGAGCCCGGGGCCGCGCGCTTGCAGAGCCGGCGCCTCTGCCTCAGTCCCAGTGAAGAGCAAGCGTGGTGGGCCAGGGTGAAGGTGCCGTTGTGCAGGGAGAACCGAGCTGACCGGTGTCTGCACACAGCCTGTGCTGAAGCCAGGGTCCAGGAGTGGGTGGGCCCAGTGTCTACAGCCTATTTGTTTTGTTTTTGAGCCAGAGTCACCCTATGCAGCTCAGGCTGGCCTTGAGCTCACTTTTGCAGACCAGGCTGGCTTTGAACTCGCAACGATCCTCCTGCCTCAGCCTCCTGAGTGCTGGTAACAGGTGTGCGCCAACATACTTTGCTGATTCTTGATGCCCCTAGTGGCAGTTTGGTTGGTTGTGTGAGCAAAGAGGGACTTGGGGGTACCCCACGCTCTGGGCCTGAGCTCCAGAAGGAGCAGGTTTGGGGTGGAAGCAGGACTTAGTGTGGGCTGGCACTGGGAGCCCCGGGTGTTTCAGGGGAGCACTGGGTGGGCTCCAGCAGGGCTGTCAGGCCAGGGCACAGAATCCTGGGGCAGTTCTCGCCTGGCAGGTGGTGTCTGAGCCCCCAAGGCCACTTGAGGATGGGGGGGGGGAACAGTCGACAGGAGGGCCCAGTTTCATCCTTCATCCTTTCAGCAGCTGCTGAGAGGGGCCGGTGGCAGGTGGAGACTCTGGGGACAGAGCACAGGCTGCCCCTGCCCGCGGGGATCTGTGCAGAGTAGGGGACACCTGGGGCTGACTCCCAGGAGCAGCTGCTTGATGGGCTGATGGAGGGCACAGTGACCTTGGCTTTTGCTTGGATCAGTGTGTAGATTTGGAAAAAGGTGCCCTTTGTGCCGTGTGCGCCCTGTCCAGCTTTCGGGGCAAAGAAACATTTGGAGAGTGGTGTGGACCTGCACTGCTTTCTGTTTTAAAAAATGTATTTAGCACAGGGTCTCACAACACAGATCGGACTCATAGTGATCCTCCTGTTTTCAGCCTCCCAAGCGCTGGGATTACAAGCACACGCCAGCCCAGCAGTGTTGATCGGAGGTGAGAGTTTCTATACTAAAGGGAAGGAGGCAAGAGAGCAGGCAACAGCGTGTGCCACGTCCCTGTGGTGGGAGTGTAAAGCCAGGGAGGCGGGCGTGCAGCCACCAAGGGAGACTTTGGTCTCCTGGGAGTCCTTCCAGGAGTGTGGTCCTGGTTCCCAGAGCAGCAGGGACCTTGAGAGGGTCTTTCTGTTGTTTTCTGTTTTGAGACAGTGTCTTGCTATGTAGTTCAGGCTGGTCTTGAACTCTTGTGTAGCCCAGGCGCCTCCTGGAGAATCTGCTTCAGCCTTCTGAGTGCTCCTGTTGTGTGTGCCACAGCATATACCGGGCTTGAAAGGGTCTTCGCAGTGACTGGTGTGGTCACGTGTGGAGTGCCAGCTTTCCTTCCTGGCTGTGTGGCCACAGGGACTTCCTGATCCTGTGTGCCTCCGTTCCCAGATGTGTACGTGAAGATCACTGAGGTAGCGCCATCATGTTTGGGAACGTGCACACATTTCCTGAGCTCCTGTCCTGACTGCTGCCAAGCTCTTCCTGGAAGCTGCGGGGGACCTGGGGGAAGGGGACACGGCGGGACTAGGGAGGCAGGCAGTAATCGGCAGGGCAGGTGAATGTCTAGTGGGCAGGATTCCTGTCTCAGTGGAGGGGCGGCCAGGTCCTTCACGCTGTCTGGATTCCCTGCGGGAAGCCTGGGGCAGGTGTGAAGTTTCTCGAAGGAGACTGACTCGCAGCATAGGCCCAACAGACACAGGCTTCTTCCTTCCTCTCAGCCCTGGCTGTGGGGTTTTCTGGGTCTTCTGGGAGCCTGGGGAGGTCCCCTCTGTGTGGTTTGAAGGCTTGATTTGGAGACAGATGACTTCCTGAGGCTTGTGGCCTTGGGACCTGTCATCCCGAGACTGTGTGTCCTCATGCCCGGCCGGCTGGGTGCCTGGAGGTGCAGGTGCTTCATTAGTCCACCAGGGTGTTTGCCCTCCACCTTAAGGTGAGGGGGGCATGGCCAGTTTGTGAGAGGCCTTGCAGGTCAGGGGAAGAGTTGGCATTGTACTGTGAATGTGGTGGGAAGTCACCAGTGTGAGGTCAGGGTGTAGGGTCGCTTATAATCAAGTGCTTGTTTTTGTCTTTTTGAGACAGGGTCTCGTTCTGCAGTTCAGGCTGGCCTTAAGCTCACTTTGTAGCTCAGGCTGGTCTTAAACTCAAAATAATCCTTCTGCCTCAGCATCCCGAGTGCTGGGATTACAGATGTGTGCCACTACGCCTGGCTCTAATTTTGTTTTGTGTTGGTTTTTATTTTTTATTTATTTATTTTTTTGTGGAGCTGGGGATTGAACTCAGGCCCTTGGTTTGGTTTTTTAAAGATGTGTGTCGACATGTATAGCCCAGGCTGCCTCAAAGTCTTGGCTCTATCCTCCTGCTTCAGCCTCCAGATGCTGGGAGCACAAGCGTGCACCACCACACCTGGCTGGGGTTTTTTGGTTATTATTATTTTTTTAATAAATTTAATGAGAAAGAAATAGCAATGAGGGCTGGGAAGACAGCTCAGTAGAATAAGCGCTTGTCTGGCAAGCGCAAGGGCCTGAATTCAATCCCCAGTTCTGAAAAAAAAAAAAAAAGTAAAAAGTAAAAATAAAAAGAAATAGCAATGAGATAGCTTCAAAATAGGTTCGTACGGCTGGTGAGATGGCTCAGTGGTCCAAAGCACCTACTTGGAACAAGCTTGGCAAAGCACAGGGACCCCAGTTCGATCCCCCAGCACCACGTGCCAGCCAGCCCCGCCCCCTGGTGGGCTGAGCTGGCCACTCACACACAAATAAATAAATAAATAAAATAAAAAAAATAGGTTAGTAGGGCAGTTACAATAATTAATACATTGCATATTGTTGTCTTCGTAGTAGTTATTCAGAGTCCAAGATGCAGACATGATCTCTTGTCTAAACAATATTAGTACAAATCTTTCTTATTGAATTAAGAGAAAGTATCTGTGTATCAGTCCGAACTATTTTGTTTGTTGTTATTGTTTAGACAGGGTCTCACCCCGTGTCCAGGTTGGCCGTGACCTCTGAATCCTTCTACCTCCTCAGGTAGTTTTGTGTTGATGGAACTGGACATGGAGGTCACAACCTCAGGCTTGCCAGGCAGGCACTGTGCCGCTGAGCTACATCCCCATCCCTCATGGTGGTTGTTTAGGTGAGAGACGAAGAGGCTTTGGAGGGCGAGGGGGCCCCAGAGGTTCAGGTGCGCAGTGTGCTGGCGCACACCGGTGTCCCAGCATTCTGGGAGGCTGAGGCAGGGAGAATCACAAGATTGAGCCCAGCCTGGGGAAACTTAGCAAGACCTTGTTAAAAAATAAAAAGATTTTAAAAAGGGTTGGGGATGTAGCTCAGTGGGAAGGCCCTGGGCCTTTTTTCCTTTTTAAATTTTATTTTGATACAGTCTCATGAAGTTGTGCAGACTGGCCTAGAACTTGTGATCCTCCTGTCTCGGTGTCCTGTCTAGTAGGGATTCTAGGCATGGACCACTGTACCCTTCCCTGAAAGGTTTACATGTCAAAGCATCCTAATATGTAGAAAATTAAAACAAGTGTTTTATTTTATTTTAGGGAAGGGTCTACAAGAGTGTTCACCATCTCACTACTAGATCGGACTTGTAGTGATCTGCCTGTTTACAGCCTCCAAAGAGCTGGGATTACAGGCTGTGCCACCACACCCAGTCTCAACTGCGGTCTCAGCGCGCCCCGGGGGCGGGGCCGGTAGGCCTGGGGATGGAACCCCCCCCACCTGCGTGCGGGTGCTTTAATTCGCTGAGCTCTTTGGCTGGCCCTAAGGTTTTTTTAAATTATTTTTTCAAATTTTATTTATTTTTGTGTGTGTGTGTGTGTGTGTGTGTGTGTGTGTGTGTGTGTCCAGCTCAGCCCACCAGGGGGCGGGGCTGGCTGGCATATGGTGCTGGGGGATTGAACGTTGGTCCCTGTGTTTTGCTAAGCTTGTTCTAAGTAGGTGCTTTAGAACACTGAGCCATCTCACCAGCCCGAGGTTTTTTATTTTTGTTCTTTGAGACAGGGTCTTGCTCCTGCTGGTTTTGAACTTACTATGTAGCCCAGGTTGGCATTGAACTTAGGGTGACCCTCCTGCCTCAGCCTCCCAAATGCTGGGACTACAGGTGTGTGCAGCCTCACACTGCTTTAAAAACGTTCATAATTTAGCGGGCCTGAGAGTGCTAAACTTGCAGAACAGGCAAAAGCCCAGCTCTGAGGGAGCAATGGTCCTTTTGCTCCCCCCCATGGACGGACCTGGCGTCCCCTGACAGAAGTTGCCCTCCAGTGGGGGGCGCTGTGACCGAGGAGGAAGGGACGGAGCCCTTACTGCGGAACTGCATCAGGGTGCTGGGGACAGAACACGCAGTGTGCGCCCCATGATCTGACCCCCCCCCCCACTCTCTGCAGGCGCTGTATGACCCCATCAACCCTGACAGGGAGACCCTGGACCAGCCGTCACTCACCGACCCCCAGCGTCTGTCCAACGAGCAGGAGGTGCTGCGGGCCCTGGAGCCGCTGCTGGCCCAGGCCAACTTCTCCCCGCTATCGGAGGACACCTTGGCCTATGCGCTGGTGGTGCACCACCCCCAGGACGAGGTCCAGGTACTTGGCTTCCGAGGCAGGCTGTGCACCCTGGGTGTGTCCCAAATACACGCTAGAATTAAAAAAATGGGGCCCTTGGGGCCGGGGAGATGGCTCAGTAGAATAAGCGCTTTCCTGGCAAGCGCAAGGGCCTGAGTTCAATCCTTCATTCCGGGGGAAAAAAAAGGGGGCCCTCTCCTGAGTCACTTCAGGGCTGTCTATCAAAAGGTTATTGAGCCTGGAGACTGAGATAGGAGGACTGTAAGTTTGAACCCAGCCTGGGGAATTTAGCAATTTAGGGAGACACTGTCTCTAAAATAAATAAATAAACCTGGGCTGGCCAGATAGCTCAGCAGACTAAAGTGCCTGCTTAGGCAGAATGCAGACGCTGGGTTCGATCCTGGGAGTGCCCTGCCGGCCCCGCCCCCAGGCCGTGCTGAGAGGAGACTGAGACTGGGCGTGGTGGTGCGCCTGTAATCCCAGTGCTTGGGAGGCTGAACACAGGAGAATCACTGAGTCCGATATATGTAGTGAGACCCTTTAGACCCTGTACTAAATACATTAACCCCCCCAAAAAAAACCCAAGAACTAAAATAAATGAACACAAATAAAAATTTTAATAGGGCTCAGCATATAGTTCAGTGTGGAAACTCTGGATTCAATAATTAGTATGGAAAAAAAAAACCTAAAAGAAGAGAAGGAAAAAGAGAAGGGTAAGCATCTTCAGAAACCTTATGTAGCTTCTCTGCCCAAACACAGAATGACAGGTGGCAGCAGGCGAGGGGAATTGTTTCTGGGACGGACATCTTCAGCCCGTGTTTAGCGGCCTCTGTTTTCTTTGTCCCCCTTGGCAGGTGACAATAAATTTGGATCAGTACATTTACATGCAGTTCTGGGCCCTGGGCCAGCGAGTGGGTCAGATGCCCCGTATGTCCAGTGTGGGCGCCAAGCGTGGCTTCTTCACCAAGCAGCCCCCGGCAGAGAGGTGAGGGGGCCCTTGTTCCCCAGCTGCAGCAAGAGGGAGCCAGATTAGAGTGCAGAGGGGACCGGCAGGTCAGTGTGGAGGCTCGGGGGAGTCGGGATAGGGTAGGGACTGCTGCCTGTTTTCCCCAAGAAGGAGAGAGGGTAGGGACAGTTCTGGAATCAGCCCTGAGCAGTCATGGGGTCACGTTGTCACTTCACGGATTCCTGAATGCTGGCCCCGAAGTCTACTCCTCTGCGGGAAGCCGCCTCTTAGCAGCTCGCGCGGCCGGTGGGGCGCTCCCTCGGCAGCCCCAGCCCTGTGGCCTTGCCTCCGGCAGGAGATACTTCAAGCGGGTGGTGCTGGCAGCGCGGACCAAGCGGGGCCACCTGGTGCTGAAGAGCTTCAAGGACACCCCGCTGGAGGGCCTGGAGCTGCTGCTGCCCGAGCTCAAGGTGCGCACGCCCACGCTGCAGCGCGCCGCGCTCAACCTCACGCTGGTGGTGTCCGGCCTGGTGTTCTTTGTCAACGTGGGCATGGTGGTGCTGTCCGACCTCAAGGTGGCCACGTCGCTGCTGCTGCTACTCTTCGCCATCTTCATGGGCCTGCGGGCCTCCAAGGTAACTAACTGCCCACCGGGCAGGGGCTCCGCAGCAGGTGGGAGGAGGGAGGTGCCTACTATTATTAATATTAGTTTAGATTATTAATGCTTTGGTGGCACTGGGGATAGAACCCAGGGTCTGTGCCCTGAGAGACATCCCTAGCCCTTTTTATTTGTTATTTTGAGGCTGGGTTTCACTAAGCTGCTAAATTGCACGTTAGGCTTGAACTTGTGATCTTCCTGCCTCAGCCACCCAGAGTGCTGGGATTATAGGCTGAGGTGCTACGCCCTGCCCTTTGTGTTTTCATTTCATGTGCTTTTCCTGCTGCCCTTCCGCCTTTCCTCCCTATCTTACATGCCTTCCTCTCTATCTTAAGGGCTATGTGCCTAGGTTTCCTCATCTAGAAAATGGGACTAACAGCATACCCTGCCTGGGAGCGTGTTTGCTGTGCGGGCTGGAGGTGTGGGGGTCATGTGAGTGCTGCCCTGCTGCCCCCTGGTGCTCACGGCCCTCAAGGAGCCCTTGCTCTGGGAAGGGGTTCATGGGCTGAGGGAGGTGCGGGCGCTGCAGCCTGGACTTGAATCTGACTAACATCTTGGAGCTGAGTGATGTTTTCTTTTGATATTTTAAGACAGGGTTGCCCTGTGTAACCCAGGCTGGCCACAAACTTGCAGTGATGTTCCTGCCTCAGCCTCCTGAGTGCTGGGGTTACAGGCATGTGCCACCCCTGCAGCAGTGGGATCTTGAGTTGCTTCAGCTTTCGGCAGTGGGGGTGATAAGACCTAACTCAAGGGTAGCTGGGGGGCTTAGAGGCGTTAATCTGCATATAGGACTGAGAGCAGTGCCTGGCGCAGTCTCAGAAGTATCATCTGAGCCACAGCCATTAGGATGATGATTATTATTGCTGATTGGACTATTTGTTCCCCAAGCTTCCATCCCAGCCGGCGTCATTATCAAGGTTTATAAATGCACCTCCTGGGCTCAAGCCCAAATGAACTAGATTGGAAAACTTTGGGACTGGCTTCCAGGGAATTGTTTCTACCAAGCTCTCTTCCTGACTCCACTCCACGTGAGTGTAGGCCCGCCTGGTACTGTTGCTCAGGTTGTGCACCATCAGAGGACTCATGGAGGGGTGAGGGGTGCCGACAGCCTTGTGCTGCTCTCTCTGGAGGCTGAGCTGGCCAGGTGGGGCTGCTGCACATTGACTTGCATAGGCTTGGCACTGGCCTCAGGAGCGAGGCACAGCGAGGCTGTTGCTGTACACGTCAGTCGCTTGCTGGCTCACTGGTTTGCAAGCCATTTGCAGCTGTCTTGACAGGCGCTTGGAAAGACTGGTCAGAAATCCCACAGATAACAGCCAGGCTGTGCAGGCCAGGAGGGTGTGGTGTGAGGGTCCTGGGCCAGCAGGCTCTCTGGGGGACACTTCCTGTTCAGGGCTAGTGTCCAGGCTGCTCAGGAAAGGGGTGCAGTGGGAAAGCAGGAGAGCCAGGCTTGGAGGCTACCCCAGGTTTTGTCCCCAGGGGGCCAGGAAGTCAGGAGGGATCACAGTGTCCAAGGAGGACAGAGGGTGAGATGACACTAGGCCCAGAGGCCATCAAGGGGTACCCAGTGTTCTGGGGAGGGGACTCCAAGCCCCCACCCAGAATTGCTGGTCTGTTCCATCCCTTGGTGGCCCTGGGGGCTCCCAAACCTTTGAGGCTGATGAGCCCTGTTTAAAACCCACTGTAGTTGGGTGTGTCAGCGCATGCCTTTCATCCCAGCACTCAGGAGGCTGAGACAGGAGGACTGCAAACTTGAGCCCAGCCTGGGCAAATTAGTCAGTTAGCAAGACTCTGTCTCAAAATAAAAATTAAGGAGCCAGGGATGTAGCTGTGTGAAGGCCTGGGATTCACTCCCCAGGACCCTACATGCACACGCACGCATGCATGTACGCACGCACGCACGCACGCACGTATACTTGCTCCTGAGGTGAGTGCCCTGTGAGCTTTCCCCACGCTCTGGCCAGGCTGCAGCCCTCACAGCGCCTGCGTTGGGCTCCCGTCCGGGAGCTTCCTGCTGTCTAGCTCTGTGCTGTCATGACATACAGTGGGGGGTACTGTCCCACCTGGCATGGGGCCAGGAGAGCCGCTCATCTCCCACACATGCCCCATCTGTAGGTGTTCTGGCCGCCCCTGGGTCCCCCACACCCACAGCTGCCCTCCTCCTCCCCTGTATGCTGCCTTGCAAGGAGAGAGGGTCACATACACATAGTAGAGGTGCCAGCAGGGACCCAGGAGTGCAAGGACACAAGTGTCCTTGTGGGAAGAGGGGAGCCCACATTGGAAGCAGTGGCTGTATTCCAAGAGCAGCCTGGGTGACTTGGCGCTAACACAGGGAGGGTGTGCTCGGGAAGGGGCTTTACTCAGTGTGGCTGGTGCGGAGGGGAGCAGCTCTGGGTCCCAGGGACAGCAGGAGATGGGCGGGGCTGGCCCTGGGCTAGAGATGCTTCGCCTGTCCACCCCCATGTGCAGTCCAGCGAGGAGGACCTGGGAGGCTGGGGGAGATGCCAGCAGTGTGGCAGGGGTGAGTGCTAGGTGCATCTGGGTGGCAGGTGGCCACTGCTCTCCTGGGTGACTTTTGGCCTCATCTGTGTGCCCTAAGCAGCTGACACATTGCTTTCTTTTGGGGAGAATCTAGCTCTGTGGCTGGGAGACCTGGGACACAGAAGCTAGCGTGCTGTTCCTACCCAACCAGCCCTGAGGCTGTCCTCCTGCATCCCTGCATCCCTGCTCCCGTAGAATGGCAGTTGGTTCCCTGTAGGGACACAGACTGGAGGTGCTGGGCTGGCAGGGAGACAGTGCGATCAGCACGCAAGTGTCCCCCCGTTGTTGGTACTGTGAGGCATCTCCACGATTTGTGGGGTCCTCTGGCCTTGATGGTAGATGGGCCATGGTCACCCCACCGGGGGCCTGTTCTTTTGCTGCTGTTCAAGTGTTCCTGATGTGCCAGGCCCTGACCGGGAGCTGACTTCTGGGGCCCTCTGAGCATCAGCTTCTCCATCTAGGACCTGGTCTCAGCAGGACTGGCAGCTGGGGCGCCTTGTGGCCGGCTAAGGAGCGGAGGTCACAGGTGGACTCCTGATTCCGCTCCAGAGGTATCCCAAGGGAGGGGGAGGGGCGGCTGAGGGACACCCATCCCAGGCTTTCCCTCCCCCAACCTTTTCCCCTCTGCTCTCTTTACAATTTAATAGTACCGTTTAACATTAACGTTTAATGATAAAAGGAGGGTAACAATGGCTAACACTTTGCATATTATCTGTAAATTAGTTACTCAGAGTGCAAGATTTGGCATTTAAAAGTTCAACCAAATGCAGAAATAGGAGTGTGAGGAACTCCTGGGTCGCGGAAGTGACAGCTTCCGCAGTGAGTGAGCCAATCAGATTTCATCTGCACCCAGCCCCTCCTCCACCAGGTTCTTCTGAATAAATCTGGACACGAATCTGGATATAGGGCTTCTTATTGTTAACAAACTTCCAAGGGTAAAACTTTTATTCTTTGGAAATTGTTTAGAAAACCCATTTAAATATAGCCCAGAAGGGCAAACCAGTGCTGTGATTGCTAAAAACTAATCTTCAAGCTGGGCATGGTAACCCTCACCTGTACTTCTGTGTGCTCCAGTGGCTGAGGCAGGAGAATTGCAAGTTTCAACTTAACTTGGGAAATTTAACTATTCAGAGGGACCCTGTTTCAAAATAAAATATAGGGGCCAGGGAGATAGCTCAGTAGAATAAGCGCTTGCCTGGCAAGTGCAAGGGCCTGAGTTCAATCCCCGGTTCCGCAAAAATTAAAAAAATTATCTATTTATCAAAATATATAATGGGCTGGGGTGCATTCAGTGGTTGAGAACTTGCTGAACATGTACCAGGTCCTGAGTTCAATCCCTAGTATTGCAAATACAAAACAAAAATCCTAGTAATCTTTTTCTTTTCTTCTTTTTTTTTTGGCAGAACCGGGGATTGAACTCTGGCCCTTGCACTTGCCAGGGAAGCACTTATTCCACTGAGCCATTTCCCCAGCCCCAACCCTAGTAATCCTCCCACCCGCGGGTTGGGTGGGGCCGGGAGAATATGCTTGTGAAAATCACAGCTCGGGACCCCAGCCCTGGACTGGAACTGAAGAGGCCTGGGTGGGGTGGGGACCCATCAGACTCACACCCGCTCCCCGCGGACTGTCCCCGCAGATGTTCGGACAGCGGCGCAGCGTGCAGGCGCTGGAGCTGGCGCACATGCTGTACTTCCGCAGCACGTCCAACAACTCGGAGCTGCTCAGTGCGCTGGCCCTGCGCGCGCAGGATGAGCACGCCAAGGAGGCGCTGCTGGCGCACAGCTTCCTGGCCCGGCGGCCAGGGGGCGCGCACTTCTCGCCCGAAGGTGCGCCCGCCTCGCCCCAGACCACGCCCCTCTAGAGGTGGGCCCTGCCTAGACCAGCCCGAAAGGCCACGCCCACCTCCGACCGAACCCCCTTGAGCTCCGCGGGGACCTCGCAGTGCTCCAACTGTCAACTCAGTTTAGCCTGGGCCCCATGTGCCCTCCACCTCTCCTAGGGTCGTAGTTCGCTGGCCCATCTCACATTGCTTGTTCTTGGTGAGCCCATACTCTTCCCAAGATACCTTATCCCTCCCTCTGAGCCTCAGGTGGTCCCCTTTCCGACCGGAAGCCCACAGTTCCCTGAACACAAGGGTCCCAAGCCCTGTTCACTGAGCCCTTAGGTTTCTCCCCAGCCCGGCCCGCTGTACTTCGCTTCGCTCCAGGCCCGTCTCACACCTGCCTCTGTTCTGCAGAGACCTCCCAGTGGCTGCAGTTGGAAGTGGAGAGCTGGCTCCTGGCCCAGTCTGGCTGTGACGTGGCCTTCAACGGATCCCGGGCCCTGGCACACCTGCAAGCTCTGACCCCCAGCACTGGGCTCTACCCTCCTCCAGGTTTCCCCAAACTGTACCCGCTGGCCCCAGGCACTGCCGAATTCCCTCAGGCCCCGCCCAGCGGTAGCGACCCCTGACTGCCACCTGGCCAGAGGCGGGCCCCGCCCCCTCCATGAAGGGCTGTCAATCATGGCTACAAGGTTCCGTCACTCCCTAACGCCCAGTGACGGATAGGTAATTATTTGGCTCTGCTGTATATTTAAAGCAGCCAGTCGGGGCTGTTGCCCGATTGCTAAGCATCCCTGCTTCAGGAACCGAGGCAGCTCTGCCCGGCTTCTGTTCCATTTCTTAGTCTCACCCTCGCCCTAAACATCGACCTGGTTTGGCTAAGGAGGTGAGGGTGTCAGCCGGTCCCAGCTGCTGCACTCCGGCTCTGTGAGCCACCAGGCCAAGGGGTGAGAGCTGCGCCCTCCCCAGGCTGCTTATCCTTGTCTTTCGGTCTTGGGCACCGGGTGGGAGCCTAGTGCAGCCTATGAGAGTCGTTAGGGCCCGGTCCCTGGCCCTCGGCCGTGACAGCTGCTGGGCACCTTCTTCCCGGGGTAGCTAGTTGTCGCCACGAAGAAGCAACCAATCCGAGTTTCTGGTGGAGTCTAGCCTTTGTGTCCATCGCTGCCGCCGTGTGCTAGCCATCTGGTCAAGCGCTGATCAGTGTCAGGCTGATGGCTTTGGAACCTCGTACCAGGCTTGGATCTGTGGGCCTGGCGGAACCAGAGACCAACCACACCCCAAGGTTCACTGCAGCTCAGGCTCCCAGCGACCTCAGGTGCCTTCCCCACCTGGGGCCCTCACCTCTACAGAAACTACCTCGGTCTGGTGCTCCCCTCTCTCACCTGCTCCCCTGTGCATATTTATTGGTCTGTCAGTTTCTTCCCAATCCCATCTCTCCAACAAATAAATCATGTTTAATACATGTGGATATGTAGGGTAACTGAAGGGAGGAGTTTTGGAATCTTAGAAAGGACCGCTGCATTTTGGGGGTGCCAGACAGAGAAAGCTCCAGTCTTAGAGGGTTTGGTTTGTGGTTGCTGAAGCAGACTGACTGGTCATAGGAGAAAATCTCAGAAGGACCTCATTTCTGAGGACTTGATTCTGAGTCTCACAAGAAGGGACAATAAGGTGGCGATGTAGCATTGTGCAGATTGTTCACTGAACAAAAGCACACTGCTACAGGAGGAGTGGCTGTGAAGTCCAGCCTGCAGACCACCATGTCCTAATGTCAGACTAGGTCAGCCAGGAGGAGAGGGTGCCCCTTCCAACTTTTACTAAAGTGTCATAAAAGCTAGACAGCTTTTTAGGGAGACAGGAGAAAAGAAAAAAGGGGCTGGGGAAATAGCTCAGTGGCATAAATGCCTGTCTGGCAGGTGCAGGGTCCTGTGTTCAATCCCCAGTACCAAAAAGAAAAATGGAAAAAGAGAAGCCAGGCATGGTGGCACGCATCTGTAATTCCAGCACTTGGGACGCTGAGGCGGGAGGATCAAAGCGGGTTCAAGGCCAGTTTGGCTCCATGGTGAGTTCAAGGCTAGCCTGGAGTACATAGTGAGACCCTGCCTCAAAAAAGAAAAGGAAGCGGCAGGGATGGGCCTCAGCGGCCCAGGTGCCTGCAGGGTAAGCACCAGGCGCCAAGCGCCATTCCCTGTAACCAAACAAAACAAGTAAAAGAAAAAAGAGGAAGACTGGGCTCTTGAGAGGAAGAGAGATGGTTTCCAAGAGGGACAAAGGAAAACACCTTCAAGAGCGAGGATCACTGAGAAGGCTAAAGAGATCAACAATTTAGGAACGCAGATAGCATGCTTGGGTTCCAGAGAGTCTGGACCCAATAACAGAACCTTGAGCAGAGAGCGGACCTCCGATCCTCATCCTCCCCCACCAAGGGTCTTTTCTTTCTTACTTTATTTTTTGATACAGGGTCTCACTACACAGTTTGGGCTGGTCCTGTGCTCACTTTTGTAGCCCCCAGGATGGTCTGAAACTCACAGCAATCCTCCTATCTCAACCTACCAAATGCCGGGATAACAGGTGTGTGCCACCATTCCCAGTTCCCACCATAGGGTCTTGGTAAGTAGTTCAGGCTGGTCAAACTTGGGGTGATCTTCCAGCCCCAGAGTACTGAATGCTGGGGTCACAGCAGTGTGCCACCATGCTGGTTAGACTTCATTTCTAACAGGGTTTGCTGGGACTCTGGCTCCTGGTTTTTCCTGGAGCAGTGTCTGCGGGTCTAAATTCGGTCATCACAGGCATCCTGGGTCTCAAGGAGGAGGGCTACCTTTCAGTCAGAGTCCCAGAGATGGGCATTCCCATGGTGCGGCAGCGGGGCCCTCTCTGGTTGAGGTTGGTAGAGATCAGCCATGCACTGCCTGCATCCCTGGAGGAGTCAGAAAGGAAGGAAGGAGGTGGGGGCAGAAGGCCGCGGTCAAACGGTTTTATTTGCTGGAGGATGCAGCGTGGGTAGCAGGCAGAGGACTCACTCCCGCTTCCGCAGGTGGATGTAGACGATGCCGCTGACCAGCGCCAGGGGGAAGGCCACCCAGGCCAGTGCAAAGCAGTACCCAAAGCTGCCTCCGCGCGGGTGCTTCGCTACGATCTCCTCGGCGTGGATGGCGTAGATTAGGGCCCCAGTAAACACTGCCAAGCCTGTGGGAACACGGGGTCAGCGTCACCCAGTGCAAACAGGGAGACCACCCCCACAAGAAGGCCCATACAGGGCCTGCAGAGGGAGGCTCTTAACCATGACAAAGCGATCTGGTGACTGCAAGACAACCTTGGGAAATTTAATTTCTTTGGGTCTCATTTGCTCATCCATAAAATGGGACCATGATATCTATGAACTATACTTACCCATCTACCCACCCTCCCATGTACCCACGGAATTTTTTTCTTTCTAGAACTGAGGTTTGAACCCAGGGCCTTTGCACTGAGCTACATCTTTAGTCTTTTTATTTTATTTTGGCATAAGATCTTCCTAACTCATTAAACGGCCCAGCTGGGTTTACATTTATGATGCTACTGCCTCAGCCTCTCAGAGTGCTGGGATGTTGAGTTTATTTATTTTTAGTTGTTTTGAGACAGGAGCTCACTATGTAGTTCAGGCTGGCCTTGAACACACTATGTAGCCTAGGCTAGCCTGTAGCTTGTGGCAGTCCTCCTGTCTCAGCCTTCTGAGTGTGGGATTTCGGGTGTGCACCACTGTGCCCTAGTGAGTTTTTTTACAAGCCAGATATACAATACTGAATTAATAAAGCAGAATCAGGGCTTTATTTATTTAGTCTTTTTGAGACAGGGTCTCACTGTGTAGTTCAGGCTAGCCTTGAGCTCACTTTGTAGTCTAGGCTGGTCTTTTTTTTTTGTGGCCAGCTCAGTTTACCCTGGGGGCATGGCTGGTGGCATGTGGGGCAGGAGATGGAACCAGAGTTCCTGCAGTTGTCTAAGCTTGCATAAGCAGGCACTTTAGACCACTGAGCTCTCTCACTGGACCAGCCCAGCCTGGTCTTGAACTCATAATGATCCTCCTGCTTCAGCCTCTGGAATACTGGGATTATAGGCATGTGCCACCATGCAAGGTGAAGCAGGGCTTTACAAAAATGCAGAAAGAGAATAATCCTCAAACCTAAGATTATGATTAAATGAGCCCTTTGCTGGTTGAAGTAAAAAAGTTAAAAAGTGAAATCTCTCCTAAGTACCTGACACATGGTAGCTTTCTAAGAAATAGTGCCTGGACAGGCTGGTATGGTGGCAAATGCCTGGAATCCCAGCACTTGGGAGGCTGAGGCAGGAGGATTGTTGTGAGTTCAAGGTCAGTTTGGGCTACAAAGTGAGTTTAAGGCCAGCCTGCACTACATAGCAAGACCTTGTCTCTAAAAACCAAAACCAAACCAAAAGGAAATAGTGGTTGGCTGACATAGTAACGTTACTAGTATGATTCTGATATCCCTTCTGGGGTACTCATTAGTCACTCCCATCCCTGCAGGATCCAAATTATTTACCCAAACTTCCTTCACCAGCACAGGGTCCTTGGGTTCCCCCAGTTCCCTGGTGCCTCACAGAAATACATCAAAACTGCCTCTGAGTCACCAAAAACTACAACTGCCACCAGCCCCTGCGGCAGAGTGAGTGTCCAGAGATACTTGAGGTGATTCTTGGGACGTGGAAAAGGTTTTCTTTCAGCAGAAGTCTGTTCTCTGGGCCCCAGCCCCCCCCCAACATTCCCAGGTGGGGCGGGGGAGTGCTTACTGGTGCACAGCTGGCAGAGGCCGGTGGCATAGAAGAGCCCCCCTCGCCGCATGGTGTACAGCTGGAACATGAACAGGATGAAGGACAGGCAGCACAGGATGAGGGACAGCACCATGAGCACTTGCACTGCCTTCAGCCAGCCTGCAGGAGGGGAACATGTTGTGGAGGTCACAGGAGGCCGGGGCTCCTCTCCCTGCTTGCTCCTCTTTCACCCTTTGCTTCCTGTACCCCTGCCTACGCCCCATTCAGAGCTGCGCAGAGTGGACACCTATGAGTACACTTATGTGACCTTGAGCTGCACAACCTTGCTAAGTTCCTCCATCAGCTCTGGTGGTTGCTTTGCAGAATATTGAAGGCTTTCTGCATAAACAAATGTGTGTCCTAGGAATGGAGCCACTTTGGACTAATTCCTTCCATTTCCTTCTCCTGTTTGGGCTGAATCTGATACAAGGCTGAATATAACTGAGAGTGAACTGCTGTCTTTGATATTAGGGATTAGGGGAAAAACACCTAACCTTTCATTTTATTTCTTGCAATACTAGGGAGGGAACCCAGAACTGGGCTGAGTTCCCTTAGAAGTGCAGAGGGATGCAGGTAGATCCCTTTAGAATTTAGAACCCTAATGTTGTTCTGCCTTTGGCCTTGGCCATCCAGAACAGCAGCTCCTCTGCTTAGGCCTTTGGAAATAGAGCCTTCTCAGAATGTTTGGGTCTTGGTCCCCATTTGTTTAACCTGTAGCATGTGGCCTTCAGCCCTGCAGCCTGTCTTGAGTCCTGGGGGGCCAGTGCTATTGGCTCATCCTCTTTAGAACAAGTGCTCACTACCATCCAGACAGGTGGGGTGCCACCCCCCTACTGGGGCACCACCACCCCAGTGCTCAGCCTGCGTGCATTGAAAAGTTAAGGCCTGGAGAAAATTGGGGCCCCCTACCATGTTGCAGCCCAGTCCTTGCCCTCAGCCCTCACCATTCTCGCTGACGTTACTGCAGGCCCATGTCTTGGTGTCGTTGTTCCATGTGCAGTCGTACCAGAGATTCAGGGACTCCTTTCCTGGGAGAGTCCACCAGGACTGGGGTGGACAGAAGGACAAGGTGGAGTTAGGAAGGGGAGGTGGGCAGATGTGGGCAGGGGGAGGAGCAGGGGGAGGAGCAGGGGGAGGTCTGAGCTGGAGGAGGAAAGGTGGAGGGTAGGGGGAGGAGAGGATGACGGAAGCAAGGGTAGAGATGGATGAGTAAAAAGGTTGAGGCAAGGCTGGGTGTGGTGGCGCACACCTGTAATCCCAGAACTCAGGAGGCTGAGGCAGGAGGATCACTTCGAGTTGGAGACCAGCCTGGGCTACAAAATGAGCTTCAGGCCAGCGTGAACTGTATAGCGAGACCCTGTCTCAAACACACACACACACGCGCGCGCGCGCACACACACACACACACACGCAAAAGAAAAGAAAATGTGCAGTCTGGGAAAGAAGACAAGGAGAGAGCGATTTTTAAATAAGGGGTGTGGCCAGGGGCCCCGCCCCCGAAAGGCCTACCTTATCCAGCGTGGCCACGAAAAGGAGGATGAGGATGAGGATGTGAAGGGCAGAGACCACCAGCAGGAGGAGCGACATGGCTGCGATGGAAGCCTGAGAAGCGGAGAGTCAGGAGGTGGAGGTTCAAGAGGCTGGGACCGACCGAGGCAGGGGAGACTGATGGAGGAAGCTGGGCCCGGACCCTGGGTCTGGGGGGAAGAGGCTGTGGTCTGAATTGGACTTGGGGGAGGAGTGACTGGGCCTAAACCCTTGTGTCTCTCAGGGAGGAGGAGGTTGAGTCCTAGAAGCCTGTGTTCCTTTGCGGCAAGATGGAGACTGCCAGAGCCCGGCTCCTGGGCGCTGGAGTGACTAAGACTAGCAGACTTTAGCAGTGTAAATCCCGTGTCCTAGAATCCCGTCCCTAGGGATATGTGGGCCAAAGCATGAACATTCAAGTTGAACCTGCCTCTTCCAATTTATCAGGAGTTAGTGGTTGTCCCTAGCAACAGGCATCCTTGACTCACACCACTCCCTTCCTGGGTGGGAGGAGGAGGGGGACCCGGGTGAGTCACCCGTGACTCACTCACCCCCCTAGGTTCCAAGCACCAGGGAAACCCCAGCCCCTGGCTATGTCCATGAGGTCCGCACCCCAGCCGGTTGCCTGCTGAGGGTGGACACCTCCTGGAGACAAGGATGGGATGGATCTGTGTTGGGGAGTGAGGGCTGAGAAAAAGGAGTCCACCCCACTTTAGGAGCCAACAGAGGGTCCCAGAGGTCCCCTCCGACTGGAGGGGTTCTTAATCCCCTGCTCATTTCAGGGCCTTCAGGAGACAGTAGAGAGTCCTGGGGAGAAGTTTTCCCATTGGGAGCTCTGCTGGGACCCACCAAACCCATGCCAGACCCACCCCTTCCTGGATCCCCACCCCAAGTGCTAAGCGGACACTTCTTAAATTACAAGGGTTTCCCTGGTGTCGAAAGCGGGAACCTTCCTCCCCTGCCTAGAGGGGTCTATCTCAAAGTGCTGTACCCCCAAGTAAATAAAGAAATTCCAGTCCGAATAACGGACTGGAAACTTACCGAGAGCCGCGTAAAAAGTCTGGGTTGGCGCCTCGTCCCTCGCTGGGCCCCCGTGCCCCGCCCTGGTTCCCTCCTTCCCCGTCCGAGGCCCCCGCCTCCTCTCCGCCTTCCTCCCTCCTTCCACCTCCCAGCCCTTGCCGCTGCCTCGCTGCCCGGCCCTCACCCCCTCGCCTCCTTCTCTGGCTCCTGTCTCTGTCTCTGCTCCTTAATTTATACCGACCCTTTTATACCACCCTCACCGCCCTCGCCGAGGTCCGCACGGTGGGAGGGCCCAGCGCCCGCTTCCCTCGTCTCTGGCCTCCACCCCGTGCCTCCGACGGGCATGTTCCGGGGCTTCCTCGGAGCCAGGGTGGGGCAGGCCTGCTCCGCTCCGATCTTCGGGCTGAGGGAGTCTGAGGGCGACTGCTCCCTGCTGCACAGTTTGGGCTAGGTACTGAGGAAGCCCGAGTCTGCGGAGGAGCCCAGGTTCCAGGATGGGAGGAATATGCAGGCCTCCGCTAGTGGGCAGGAGGTGGAAGTCAAGCATCCCAGTGCCATCGTTTCCAGGCTGGGTGACTCGGGTCCATTATTTCACCTCTCTGAGCTTCAGTTTCCTCATCTGTGTGTTGAATGTAATACTGCTAACAATGTACTAATGTTGGCAACCATAGTTGTGATGGATAGTGTGGACGAAGAAGGTAAAATTGGCATGCTGACAAACCCAAGCCATTCTTCCTTTCAGTTTTTCAGCATGTAATGTCAAGCAGAAGTTAATAGTGAAGAAAGTGCTGCAAGCTGAGCAGTCATGAAGCTTGTGCGCTGGCAGGGGGAGACAGACACTAAAAGAAACCATCTGTGAGGAGCACAGACTTCCAAAGCCATAAGCGCTTTGGAGGAAATAAAGTGATGGAGATAGGAGGCTTGGGGGAGGTGACTGGAACAGGGCAATCGGGGAAGGCCTCTCAGAGGAGGTGACATTTAAAGTGAGACTTGACAGGAATCCTTTGATGCTGTGGGAACAGGAATCGGGAGGGTTCTGGAGAACAAGCTCCAGTTGTTTGGGGAGCAGACAGAAGGGCCAGTGTGGCTGCAGGACAGGCAGCCAAAGGAGGGAGGGGAGGGAAGTCAAAGGGTGCTCTTGAAGGCCGAGGAAGGAGTTGGGAGGTCCTGCTGAGTGCAGCGGGAACCTGTGAGGGGTTTAACATTAGTGTAGTGCATGCACCTGGAAGGCTTGGCAGGCGCCAAGTGTCAGGGTCCATGTGACGGCTGGGGAGCTGGACTAGAAGGGGTTCCCAAGGCTAAAGTTTGGAATGCAAAATGAGGACTAGAAGGGGTCTGGGTTTCAGATGTGGCCAGAGCCGGGTGTGGTGGTCTGGATTTCCTGAGAGGGAGTGGGATAGGTGCAAGCACAGCGAAGCCCCTAGAGCCACGTGGGATACATTCAAACCCAAGCTCTTTTACTCACTGGCTGCAAGTTATTAATAACTTCTCTCCACCCCAGTTTTTTTTTTCCCCCCTCCTTTTGTTTTTTTGACAGTTTTGCTGTGCTTTTCAGGCTGGCCTGAACTCAAAACTCAAAATTATTCTCCTGCCTCGGCCTGCTGAGTGCTGGGATTACAGGTGTGAGCCACCAGTTTCTCTCTCTCTCTCTCTCTCTCTCTCTCTCTCTCTCTCTCTCTCTCCCCCTCCGTTCCTCCTCCCCCTTTTGAGACAGGGTCTATTTAGGCCAGGCTGGCCTTGAACTCAGAGGAATCCTGCCCCAGCTTTGCAAGTGCTGGAATTACAGGCTTGCACCACCATGCCTGGCTGGCTGCCTCCGTTTCTTCATCTGTAAAGTAGGGCTTATAGCAAACATGTTAGTGTAGCTCTTAGAGTAGTCTTAGCACATAGCAAACGTGCCAACTGTACTACTTATACAAGGCGTTGGGGGCCCTATGAACATTCGGGAATACTCCGGTTCGGGATTTCTCGGAATTAGGGAAAGAGCTACTTCTTGGGTCCACTGGGTCCCCAAAGCTAAAGTTTGGAATGCAAAATGAGGATCCCAAGGGAAGAGAATAAATAGCTCCGAAATAAAAACTCCAGAGGATGGAGATTGCAGGGTAGGAGACTACAGGCCTGAACTTAGATCCTGAAGGAAGTTAAAATCTGAGGCCCTGAAGGAAAAGTTAGGGGTATGGGGTGTGTGTGTGTGTGTGTGTGTGTGTGTGTGTGTGTGTGTGTGTCTCAGAGTAAGAGTACAAGGTTAGGGAACTGCCTTTCAGTTCCGGGAGGAGAGGAGATGGGGAAGAGCTGGGGGAGGTGGGAACAGCAGTCTATCAGTGCGGTCAGGTTCCCAGCGTTGAGTCAGCGCCGGGCGGGGTCTCCGACGGTAGGGCTTCATGGAAGGGAAAGAATCAGAAGACCTGAAGGCGGTAGTGGGATCTTCCCCATCCTGGCCTCAGAGGATGCGAGCTGAGCGCTCACTGTCGCTTCCTCCCACAGGAAACCGCAGGCGGTGGGCACACCCAACCTAAGGGGAGGGGCGCGCACAGTCCCCCTCCGGGGAGGCCCACGTGGACAGCAGCAGGCGGGGGCGTGTCCCCCGGAGAGGGGTGTGGTCAGATGAGACCACGCCCACTCGCCTCTGGTAGCGGACGCCGAAGGTGGTTTAGCGCTTTTGGCTCCTTCTCCATCAGCCGTTGGTCGCGCATGCGTAGTGAGTCTCTGGGAGGACCTAAGGTCGTGGTGAGCGCACCTCTCTCTCACAAGTCCCGGTGTCTGCACTGCTTCTTGCTAATGAATTCTTAAAATAACATGCTCTTAATCAGCCTAAGGCATGCATTGCTTGGGCTTGGGCTGGTCTCGCAGACCTGGCCTTAAAGCGTTCCAGACATTTCCCTCCAGGCTCTTTCAACTCCCGACGCTCCCTACCCTCACAGCCCATCCCACAGGCCCGTCCCCACAGACCATCCCGGCTCCCACAGGCTTCCTGAGCCCCAGCATCTCCCGAGCAGCACGCTCCTCTTCGTCGTTCTCTCACAAAGCGAGTTTTTCCAACCTGTGCTTTAGTCCCCGGCACTCCGCCCCTCGCTTGCCCCGCCTCTATAGGCCCGTGGCTCCTCCCCCTTCAGCCCCGCAGCCCTGTCCTTCGCCAGCCCTGCCTTTTACAGTACTTAAGCCCCTCCTATTGCCCCACCCCTCGACACTCCTGGCCACGCCCCTCACTCTCCGCCTCCCGCTTAAGTGCCTGAGCCACGCCCCTCCCCAATCCCCGAGGCACCGCCCTTTACAGTACCCGAGTCCCTCCCTTTGCTCTGCTCTTTACATGCCCTGGTCATAGTTTTTTTTTTGTGGGGGAGGGCTCTTCCTAATAAAACTCCTGCCTCCTCCCCCTTCTCCCCTACAGCTCTTTCCCTTGCCCACACCACTGTCGCCCTCTTTATGCGACTGAACTCCTCCCGCCCATTGCAGGTCCCTGGCTCCTCCCCACCGCAGCTGTAAACCCGCCCCCAGAGGGCCCTCCAGGCCTGGCGCTGTGCTGCCGTCTCCGCCCACCGCTCGCAGACCCGGCCGCCCGTCAATCTTAGCCCGCGAGAGCCAGCGGGGCTTCCACTCCCGGCCTCTGCGCGCTTCTCGCCCTCCCTGAGCGCTGCCTCGGTCCCTCCCCCACAGCTCTGCTCCAGCCTCATTGGCCTCTTATCTCCCCAGTAACCAGGTCACAACAGTGAGTTTGCAGCACCAAGGACAGGTCAGACACTCGTAGGGCCTGCTGGGTGTCCCCCGGCTGGGATGTCCCCTCTATCCTGCCTCGGAGATTCCGAGAACCATCCCGGGAGCCCAGACTAAGCCCGACAGTGTGGACGGTGGGAGGCCGGGACGTCGTCCTCCATCCCCTTGGAGGAACTGAGGCTCAGAGTAGTTCTGTGTCATTCCAGTCCCTCGCCTGTCCCCTGTCTGAAGGTTCTGTGTCCTCGCCTACAGGAGACCTGCCTTCTTTGGCCAGGATGCCTTTTGGACGCTCTGCAGTGAGCATCCGCTCCGAGGAGGGCAGCGAGCTCTTCCTCGAGGGCCTAGGTAATTCGTGTGTTCTTTCTCAACCCACTCATTCTTTTTCTGTCCCTAACGCCCCCATATTCTAGGTCCCCTGCCCCTGAGTCGGGGACAGAGAGGCCTCTCGGGAGCGCCGTCTACTGGGGAGCAGATGTGTGCCTGGTGAAGGTGGCAAGGCCGGATGGGTGGGTCAGAACGAGGCAGTAGAGGGGTCCAGGAAGACTTCTGGCTGGCAGCAGAAGTTTGATCAGGGCTGAAACATCTAAGAATTGCGGTGGGGACAAGGGACGGTTATTTGCACCGAGAACAGCATGTAGTTTTGAAGGAAGGCTTCTCAACTTTGGTATTGTTGCCAGTCGGGGTAGGATAATTCGTTGTTATTCTTGCCCTGACCTGTGCTTTGTAACTGTGTCCGTGGCTTCTACTCTTCAGCTGTCAGTACCCCTCTTGCACCAGGCGTGACAATCAAAATGTCGCCAAACAGTTTTGGGAGCAGAATTGTACCTGGTTGGGAACCACTGGGTCTTGGCGGGTAGGAGCTGGTGGGTGGGCCTGGAGAGACAGTAGGGTCAGGTCCTATGGAGCCTTGAACGCCAAAGCCAGGCCGAGGAGCAGAGACTGGGGTGCCTTGGAGGCCTGTGAACAGCAGGAAGAGCAGAGTCTTGGGCCGAGGAAGGCCGCTGGGAACTGTGCAGAGAAGTTGAGGAGGAGTCTCTTGATAGTTCAGGCAGGGAGGGTGAGCCTGAGCCCAGGGGACCAGAGGAGAGAGTGAGAGAGGAGAAAGGATAGGGTGCACCGTTCCACAAAGGGAGTCGGATCGGTGCCCACGCCGGAAGGATCAGCGGCCTTCCGGGGGCGCCCTCTAGTGGTAGGAACTGACCTGCGTCCACCGTGGAAGTGGGAAGGGATGCGGGACGCGAGGGAGCCTGAGGCGTGCGGGTCCTTTGCAGTTTGTGACAAGCTAAGGTGTCAGAATTCTCCCAGAAGTTTCCAGGGAGGAAGGGGATGCCCATGGCTTCTTTGTCCCTGCTGCCCTCACTAGACTGGGAACTGAGCAGACTGCAGCGACAATACAAAGTGATGGAGGTGGAGAGGCAGACCTACAGCAGGGAAGTCCACCAGCGCCTCAAAAAGCAGCTGTGAGCCGGGCCTGGGCCCTGCTGGGGAGGGGAGCTGGCTGCGGGGCGCCCAGCCTTTGGCCACGCTGAGCCTGCTCCCTCTGCCCTCTCCTCCTCCCGCACCCTGGCCTGGACAGGGAGGAGATCAGGCATCTGGAGGAGGTGCGGGATGGGCTCCAGACGCAGATCGGTGTGGCCCAGAGCCAGGTGAAGCGGCTGCGGGATGGCGAGCGGCTGGAGAGTATGGGCCGCCTGCTGAGGTGCAGGGCGCAGGCGCAGGCGGAGGTGGAGGCACTGCAGGAGCAGACCCGAGCCCTGGACAAGCAGGTGGGTGTGCCCTGCAGGCGCTGCGGGCCCTGCCTGGGCCCAGCGCAGCTCTGCAGGAGCCAGGCCTGGAGTTGTGGCCTTGGGAGCAGGGGTGGCTGCCACCCTGGGACTGTGTGGCTGTTTGTGGGCGGGTCTTCGCCTCCTGGCCCCAGTTTCTTCGTCTGGAAAAAGGGGATCACCAGACCACAGAGTGGAAGCTGGGGATTGAACTCAGGCCCCTGTGCTCGCCAGGCAAGCGCTTATTCCACTTAGCCATCTCCCTAGCCCCAATTGTTCTATTTCTAACTGAGTTATCTCCTCAGCCCCCAAATGTTTTCTCGTACATCGTCAGCTTACATGAGTTTGAAAAGTTACTCATCGTGGCGCTCTGTATTGTTTTCTTATTGCCCTGTACCACATAATCACACAACCTTGCATTTCTGTGGGGCAATGGTGGTGCACAGCCGGAATCCCAGGGGGAGAGCCGCAAGCTCCACCTTGGCCTGGGTTACACAGTGAGACCCTGTCACAGGAAAGCAAGCAAGCAAACAAAAACCTTGTGGTTCTGGGGAGTGTGAAGTCGGAAGTGGGTCTCGTGGGCTGCGGCCAGGGTGCTGGCAGGGCTGGCCACCCAAGGGGACAGTCTGTTTTCAGTTCCTTTCAGCTTCTCAGTGCCACCTGCGAGGCTTGGGTTGTGGTCCCTTTCTCTGCCTTCAAAGCCAGCCACGGTTGCATCACTCTGGTCCTGCCTTCCCTGCCTCTTTTGCGGCTGACCCGGGAGTCTTCCCATTTCAGGACCCTTAGCTCTCTGATGCCTGCTCAGTCCCTCTGGTCACTTGCGGTAACAGCATAGCTACAGGTCCAGGAATGAGGACTTGGATGTGTTCGGGGGCCATTAATCTGCCTGTCATGTGGTCTGTTTTTGTTTGCTGTTTTTTTTTTTTTTTTTTAAACAGCTGACTTTCCTTTTTTTTTGGTATCCTTTTGAGACAGGTCTCACTATGCAGTTTAGGCTGGCCTTGAGCTTACTTTGTAGCCCAGGCTGGTCGTGAACTCGAAAGGCTCCTTCTGCCTCTGCCTCCAGAGTGCTGTAATTACAGCTGTGCACCACCATGCCTGGCTTTTAACAGCTGACTGTCAGTCTTCCAAACAGCCCTTGCCTTCCCCTGACTGCCCTTTGGAAGCTGAATTCTGATTTCTGCTCTTCATACTTATGGCTGTGTCCCGGGAGTACAGCGGTGTGCTGGGCCTGGCTGCTGGGCTTCACCTTCCTTCGGCCTTTCATGGACACGCATTCACAGGCAGCTGTTAACACCTGGCTCATAGTTCCCAAAACATAACACTGGGCTCTCCAGTTGTCTGGAGTGACCCCAAGTATCACACTGATAATAATTGTATTATTATTTGACTTTTGTGAGAAGGTTTTCTCTGTAGCCCAGGCTAGCCTCAAACTTTCAGAGATCCTCCTGCCTTAGCCTCCTCAGGGCTGGGATTACAAGCATGTGTTACCATGCCCAACTAGCAGTTGTTTTTACTAACTAGTTCGGTTCAAGTAACCCATCAAGTATTTATGTCTTAGCAGGTTGGATACCATCTGTACGATATATACATAAATGTAAAAAAAATACATCCCCCCTCCTCGATATGTAG